AGCATTAATATTCTCATTGCGAACATTTAATGGGAGGAAGTTTTATTCCTAAAACATGTTAATATGCAGAGGTAGATTCAAAGTTCACACAAAAAGGATAAATCTGTGTGAATAGTTTTAATAAGCTGAAAGAGGAATAGACATAGAATTGTGTCAAATGATAAAACAACAGAATAAAGTTAAATGATGCTCTAACCTTGTTGGTAAAAGGAGTTTTTTTTTCTTTTCTTCATACTGGCGCGGAAACTTTATGGCGGAACTTTAATCTCATCATCCAAATGTTTCCCTCCGGATCCTTTACGTCACCGGAGCAGCATGGAGGCACGACACCGCTGTAGAAATGAATGGATGAGAAGTGTGTGTTCGTGTTGACGCTGTAGAAATCTTCTCGTGGGGATGTTGTGATCAGATAAACTCACAAACACACAAACACGATGGAGTGCGACATTCTGGACTCGCTGGAGCAGCTGGGGTAAGCTAATGGAGGGTTAGCATGTTTGCGTTAGCCTGCTTAGCTTGTTCTCCGTTAGCTTCCACTGTCTCTGACTCCTCTGTGTGTGTGTGTGTGTGTGTGTGTGTGTGTGTGTGGTGCCCCTCTGACTCCTCAGGTATGACGGGCCCCTGCTGGAGGAGGAGGCGCTGCTCCGGGCCGCAGAGGGAGGCCTGTCCTCGCAGGAGTATGTGGAGCTGTGCCGGTGGTTAGCATCCAGGCTGCAGTCGCTGTGTGGGCTGGAGGAGACAATCACATCCGGTCCAGGTGAGACACAGGAGCCCGCACCTCCTCCATGACGGTGCAGAGCATGTTGGGGCCATGAAGGAGGTTTTATACATGTGTGACTTGTCGTCTGAACCCTGGGTGTTAGCATCAGCAGAGGAAACACATGCAGGTTAACCTGAACGTGCTGACAGACAGTGTTGTGGTGGTCAGCAATGTTGCAGGTTCGAATCCCAGCCGGGGCCTTTCTGTGTTTACATGTTCTCAATCAATCGAACTGCTTTTATTTGTTTAGCCCATATTCACACATCACAATTTGTCTCATAGAGTTTAAACAAGGTGGGACATCCTCTGTCCTTAGTCCTCAACTAGAGAAGGTAAACAGTATGACCGTTAGAGCGGTCATCAGAAGGTTGGCGGTTCGATCCCAGTCTTCCCCTCTGCATTCTGAACTGTCCTTGGGCAAGACACTGAACCCCAAATGACCTCTTCTCATAGAGAATGTGCTGCACATAGATTTGAACATGAGAACATGTCGAGTACACTTGAGAAAGTTTGTTGGATTATTCTGGGTACTCCCTCAAACCGTCCAAACACGTGCTGCAGTATTGGAGCCTCTAAGTTGACTGTAGCTGTGGACAGTTGTTTGTCTCTGTGTGTTTGTCCTGCTGACTGCTGACGTGTCTGGGATTTCTCCTCGTTCACCCCTCAGTGGCACTAATGTATTTATTTAGACTGAAACACAATATGGTGGCTGCTCCTGTCAGTTGTGTCTGTGTTCTCTGTCTCACATTAAACCTCCTCCTCGTCAGACGACATGGACGGCCTCCAGGTTGAGCTGAGCGGTTTGCTGAAGGAGTTGCACTGTCCCTACGAAGAAGCCGTGTCGGGGATTCTCAAGGGCGCCGTGCGAAACACGAAAGATCATCTCAAGTTTTTGTGTAAGTAATCGCCCCTGCTTCATCCTTTCATTGTTGTGTCGCAGGCTCTCAGTGCGTTAGAACAAGTTCTTAAAGACTTTGTGTCTTCTTGAAGTGTTTCTCAGCTCCGAGCTTCAGACCGCTCAGATTGTGAGGAGCAGACAAGTCTCAGATAAACATCAGGATGGGAATCCGGTGTCTCAGCACGTTTCAGCAATCTGTGAGACGCTGAAGCTGCCAGAGCCCAGAGAAGCAGACGCAGAGGGAATCTTCTCCCAAATACAAAACACGGTCAGTGTCATCATCAGTGATTCTTCTATAGTGGAGATTTATTCAGTCACCACTGAAATCCTCAGATTTATCCTGCCGGCTGATAAGAAGTCTTTTTCTATATGTTTATAACTTGATGAAATATTCTAAACTATGGTTTAGATTAAAATAATTCAGCAATAACTGTTACAGTACTCACCAGCAACTCTTTACTTCACATAACTACAAAACCTTTACACTTGTCATACATTGATTAGTACTATTACACAGTTTAAGTTGTGGCAATTGATAAGAAGTTTGCTTCAACTAATTATTATAAAGTAAATGTTGATGGAACAATGTATTGGTGATAGAATAATGACATCACTACTGAGATTGGTTCTAACTTTAACTAAGACAATCAGACAAACTTAAACAAATTACTTATTAATACAACTGGATGTTTTGTTCTGCTTTTATCACAGTACTTAAAAGAACAGAGATGCTACTTAGAAACACTATTATACATACTATAATATCCACTAATATTCTTTTTATGCCTTTCCTTCTAACACCTGTTATTAAATGTGTTGCATTGTTTTCTCCATGTGTGTCATTATAGGTTGATAAACTTATTAAAGATCTTCCAAATGGCTCCATTGGAAGTCCAGTTCTGAACCAGTGTCTGAGCGCTGAACAGTGGGTAAGGAAAAGAACGAGCCACGTTACATTAATGATTATATCTGTGTATCAGGAGCTGGTTGTTTTAAGTCCCTGTCTTTGGTTCTGCAGGCGAAGTTGCACGGCATCAACACGGTCCTGTGTTCAGAGTACGAGTGTCGGCGCAGGATGCTGATTAAGCGACTCGACGTCACAATTCAGTCGTTCGGATGGTCAGACAGAGCTAAGGTACGTTCAAAGGAGAGTTACAGTTCATAAACTGCAAAAATCAAACTCGATCAATAACAAAAAAAAACGTCTGCCCACACTCTGGACGTTTTAATTTGCTAATAATTTAATTTATCTTCACCACGAAAAGGATTTTCTGCTCCTCTTTGCATCGGGTCGTTTCTTGTGCCATTTTCTAGTTTTTCTATGCAGACCTGCTTTTTTAGAGTTTGACCTTCTTTGATTTTGAAGAATCAACTGAGTCTGGTTCTGCTGGAGGTTCCCTCCAGTGAATGAGGAAGTTTTTTCTCTCCACACTCGCTCCACACATGCTGCTCATTGAGGGAAGTGTTGGTTTCTCAATAAATGTTAAGGTCTTGATGTCATTATGTTAAATTTGAACAGAATTGAATACCTTTCATTTGAGTCCATTCATTTTATGCCATGGATTCTTGTGAAGCACTTTGTAACCTTGTTTAGGTAAGTGCTATATTATTATTATTAGTATTATTATTAGTATTATTATTATTTGATATCTCTGCTGGATATCTCTTTTTTTATTGTGTTTACTAAAACTTAGCTGCTCACGTTGATGTGCAGCTTCATCTCACTGAGCAGTAATCCACATTGAAAGGACAGACAGCAAAAATTACACAGACTCCAAGTGTCCAAATACTGTGAAACCCCTAAAATCGAACCCCTGTGTGTTTGAAGTTCTGTTATCACACGTTATTTTAATGTTGTGTCCATTGTTTAGTTTGACATTCAATGTGCTAAAGCTCAGACTCTGAAGAACTGAATTCTCACACTAAAGGTCTGGACTCTTTGTGTGTGTGTGTGTGCTGCGTTAGGTGAAGGTGGACAACATGGCGAGGGCCTATCAGCCTAAGAGACACTCTCTGAGGCCACAGTCCGATGTGGACATGTCCAAGCTGCTGGCTGCCAGAGAGGACATCTGCAATGTGGTGAAGACGAGCAGTGGCTCCAGCAGAGACAAAACCACTTGTGCCGTCAACAAGGTAGAGACAGAAGTTTTCCATTTCCCTGCGACCTCCTCAGTCTGAAGTTGTCGTCAGTCGGCATCAACCATTTCTCTTCTCTCTCTCCTCTCACAGGTCCGGATGGGCCGAGTGCCAGACCGAGGAGGACGTCCCTCAGAGATCGAAGCCCCACCTCCCGAGATGCCACCCTGGAAGGAAAGACAAGTTGGCGGAGGAGGCTGGGGAGGACGTGGTGGCAGAGAAGGTGGAGGAGGAGGCTGGGGACACGGAGGAAGAGGTGGAGGTGGTTGGAGAGGCAGTGGATGGAACCATGGAGGTCATGGAGGGAAGAGAGGACGGTACTAGAATTCATTTTCTACATATGTTTTTTTTTTTTATGAGATGATTTATTCATATGAACTGAATCCTGCTTTCTGAGTTTTTATGGACGAGGAGCGTTTCTAAAAACGAAAGTGACTTGTCATCATTCGGAGACAAATCTTCCTCGACTGATGAAGTCAAATGCTCCTTTTTTCACTTAAATCAGTGTTTAAATTTGATATTGAAAGAAAACGATGAATCTTTATCATGAACAAGTGTTTTTAACTGACGATGATCATATCTGAAATCCCTGATGTTGGAAAGCACTTCGATTTTTTTTTTCGTAAAGAATTATTTTTGAAAGAAAAAGACATTGAAGGCAAATGTAGATGTAAGTCGAGGAAAATGTGAAAGATTGGACTAGAACAGGAGTTTCAGCATCTGACTCCTGCTGTAGTTCCACTGTGACATCTTGAAGTGTCTCCTCTGTTAAGGATCAACTAAATATCAATTCTTACCTCAAAGAATCCTTATCAGCTCTACACACGACTTTTTTTTGTTACTGGATTTGTAAAGAAAAAATAAAGACCAATGATGCAACCTTCCTCTGATGTTTGTAATGACCTGACAGTGGCTCATTCCTGCCACATGGTGGCACAACAGACTCACAAACTGAGCAACAGACGGATTTTTCCAAATATTTATTCTTGGCTGTAAAGATTTTCTACACTTTGTTTTTTTCCAATTGTTCTTCAATAGATACAGTTTATACAGAGTTTGTACAATAACCAATATTCATTAAAGCAGAATTTTACATTATGAACAACAGACCTGTACAGTTACACCTTGGCCACAGAGATCTTTCTTTTTCAATTTCCAAACTAAGACTCAAGCAGTTTCTGAAAACCACAAACAAAAAAAATCTCAAGCAATTAAAAAAACCCAATATATGGATCTGGAAACATCACTGCCTGTGTATCTTTGTCAACAAAAATATCAGGGTAAGAAAAATGAGCGAAAATCTCTTCACTTTGGCCACAATATAAATTTAGCTGATTGTAAATCTGCGAATAATATCAAACCGATATAATCAACATGATTTCACTTAGTGTAAACTTTACATAGTTCCTGTACAGATTCACTTGATTTCTAAATGCTTCTCAGAGCAGCTGCAGGAAATAGACTGTGTCCAGTTGAGCGACACTGTGTGTTAGTGTTAAATACTCCAAGAGACATTTGTCACTGGATTGAAAACAAGAAAACACAGGAATACTGAGGCAGCAGGAAAACCAGGCACAGTGAATCCAACTGTTAAGATACCGCTGTTGGTTTTTAAAGCACTTCAAAATAAGAGCTCATCTGGACTCTGGGATCTAAATTGAATTCATGAATACGATCATTTGCAGACACGTTTCTCAAATGGAATCACTACAATGCAAAACGAGCAATAAATGACACTGAGGGGAAAAGTGTCTACATTTCCTTCATATTATGCAAAAATATACAGCATGTTCAGCTCAGCAGATATTCAGGCACTTCATCCTTCAAATACAGAACTACGAGTGGACTTTTTAAAAACGCTCCATCATGAAACAGTCAAAGTGAAGTATAAAATTACTTTTCCAGTTTTAGTCTCAGCCCGAAAACACAAATCTGCTGCAGCTGTGCGACGCGTCTCTACTTGCCAACATACCTGTCTTTATTTCCGCAGGTGGTTTGTAACGGGGGAACAGATGTTTCACACAGACGAGGGAAAAAAATGCACTCGACCGTTTCGGGTGCAGACGCCTCGATGTGTAACTGCATCTTTGAACTGTCGGAAATCAAACCCTAAGCAGAAAGTGTTCACTTCATCAATAAGGAAAAGTCCTTCATAATCACAATCAATAGTAACAGCAAACCAAAACATTTAAAAAGTGTCCTCAGACAAAATTCAATCAACTGTTTTCAGTACACATCTATAATAAAGATCATTTTTTTAATGCAGCTTAACATTGGTTCAATATGTACAGCGACGTACTACAAAAGTGCTCGGGCTTTATTAAGCGATAATGTTTGTAAAAAATAAAATAACACTGTTTAGAGGCAGGTTTTCTTCCTTCATGCTCCTTCATGTGGCATCGCGTCTTTTATGTTGTGTAACTACACATCAATACTTCAGCCAGTTTAATACTTGGCCAAGTCAGGCTCCACCACACACGGCTGCTACACTGAAGCAGGTTTCTACAGCTACATCATCATCACTGTGCAGTTTGGCATAAACCTGGAAAACAACTTCCACCCTGAAATCGCCTCTCGATGACGGCGCACGTCGACGGGGACCGGACAGACGCCTGCGCTCAGATCAGCCGAGAGTTGCGGAGGTACTGGATGAGGACCTTGTAGATGAAGTTGTACTGAGACAGAGTCTGAACCATCATCATCCTCTGAGTGCGCAGCTTCCACAAGATCTCGGGGACGTTCAGGGGCTGAAACAGACAAGACAGAATATGTCTGTGAGAGCGTTGATCTAAAAACACTGATGGCAAAGAGAACAAGTAAATAAACGTGGTCGTTGCTTAGAAACACTAAACAACGTTTTAAGATGAAAGAGCGTTCGAGTTGCAGAATTACTTTAACTTCCTCATAATTGAAAAGTTGAAGTCCCGAAATAACCTTAAAACGCTCTCTCTCAAACTACAGGCCCAGACAGAAGCTAACCACAGTATTTCCAAACGCTAAGCTGAGTGAACTTTAGGTCTACTGCACTTTATCAAGTCTATATCGGGTCTTGTTTGTAGTTTAATTACAGCAAATTAATATCTGTATCAACAACACAGAGACATTATAATATACGAACAAGTCTCTCAAGAAAAAAAAAGATAACTTGAGCGTGAACACCCTGTTTTTAATACTGTATTCTTCAAAGTGAGGTCGTTACCTCGTTGTGCTCCAGACAGGCGATCATGATCTCAGACAGGATGACCACTCCAGTGCGTCCCACTCCGGCGCTGCAGTGGACCAGTACAGGTAGGTTTGTGTTCTTTGGGTCACTGATGCTGTTGGTGTGTCTCCTCACAGACTGGATCTCCTCCAGGTATGCTGGGAAAGCACGAGAATATTCACTTAAGACTTGTTAACCTCAACCAGACCTGTTTGTTCACCTGTTTGTAGATATTAGCAGTCCACACATTTCCATAAAGATCTCTGCATTATTTCTTGAGAAATTTCCAAAAATGTTGAAGAAATTTCAAAATCCTGGCTTCACCTCCTTCCACCAAGTTTCAAGAAAATTAGTGAAGTAGTTTTTACATATTCCTGCTAAATAACATTCACAGAAGAGAACAAGGTCCTCGGGGTCATGACTCTAAAGATTCACTCACTGAGAAAACCTTTGAAGTCCTCAGGACAGCCGTGATCGGGCCAGTCAGTGTACTGCAGGTGCCAGACGGTCCTCTCTTGGCCCGTCAGGAGGTGTTTGATCTTAAGCCCCGTGGTGGCGTAGCAGCCGGACTCAGTGCGGAAGCGGGTGGTGATTTTGAAGCGGCCGTACGTCACCGTGTTGTGTCGCGTGCCCAGCCGCGGCCAGTACCGGAAGCTCTTTTCTCGGCCGCTCTCCTGCAGCGAGCGGGTGACAGAGGAAGGTCAGTCCGGGCTGTGATGACGACTTAAATGTTTGGAGCTGTAAATATGAAACGTAACACACCTCCTCAGCGGTGACCATTCCGATGATGGAGACGCCCTGCTCCCACACCATCTGCCAGAAGTCCTGACACGTGTTCGACATGGGACCCTGCGACGCGATGTAGCTCCATTCCTGTCCAGCGACTGTTATCTAATGAGACACAAGACGACTGGGTTTAAATTCATCTGTCGTTGGACCTCTTCAGTAACAACAGCAGAGAGTGGAAGTCATTCAGAATCTCAACGTCCAAAACAAGTGACATTTCTCAAGAAATCATATATTATTCATTAAGTTTATCCCAATTTTGAAATTCAAAGAATTAAGTCAAACAAAACATTGATTTAGAGTAAAATCCTGTACATGTTGTTTGCGAAGAGATCAAAGTCTTGTTGCATCTCTGCACAACTTACTCTGATATGTGAAGCATTGATGTACCCCGTGTTGTTCTCTTTAGTGGGAACCAGCTCCACTCGGTTGCTGTCGTAAGGCAGGACGTCCTGGAAGCGGTTCTTGTCTCCGCTCTCAGGCAGCTGGGCGACGCTGTATTCGCCTCCTGGACGCTTTGGGATTTTCTCGTATTCTTTCAACAGCTCGCCCCTGTCCATGTGCTGCTCCAGCAATTTACACTGACACACACAAGAAAAGGAAAATGTAAATACATCGCTGTCATGCATAGTACGATCCTGAATACAGGAACAGCTTTAGTTGGTTTAATAAACTTGTGTTATGTGTAAGATGTCTGGTAACATTCCATAATCTTGAAGCAGCAGTGAATGATTCAGTCATTACGAGGAAGGAGTCTGACTATCTGACTGTACTCATACTATCCATTTCTGTAAAAATCTATCGCGGTTTGACGACATAGTTTCCTGTGAACTGTCTGCTTTAGATTAATCTGCTCCTCGACAAAAACAGCGTCTGTCACTTTTTAAACTGTAAATATAACGAGATGAGATTTTTAATTATCATCGGAGTTCTGAGGATGTTTGATTTGCAGTGGTGGAAGTTGTTGCACATGTAAATCAACAGGAGAATTCATACAATAATTAAAGAACAATGCAAACCACTGCCTCACACGGCAGTGGTTTGCATTGTTGTAGGCAGAAGTAGTGAACTATGAGTTAGAAATAATCTGAGTATATTAAAAGTAAATTACTTGCATGTGTGAGACATTTAGTACTGTGTTCTCATTTGCTCTCACTAAGTCATGACCATTAGCTACAGAGGTCATTTATTAAAGTGTCAGGAATTTATGTTGACACAGTCATGGTCAATAATGCTGAGCAGGTGAGTCGTATGTTTACAAAGCAGCAGCTAACAGGTGGAACCAAAAACCAACAAAACAAGCAGCTCCTGGAAATGAGCTTTTTCTCAACAACACATGCTATGATGATAAATCTCACATTATCTCATTGTTTTTCTGTGTATCAACTCAACATTACAATTATTGTTATCCTTGCTTAAAAACCTACGTCTTTTAAGAACAAATCACTGGCAACATCAAAGGCTCGGCCCTACCCTCTCGTCATTGGAGGCTCGTTCTGGGTCGTCCTTGGTCTCGTCAAACATCGGCTGCCTGGACACCGACAGGCCGTTGAGCTTCGCCACCTTCAGCGGGCCCATCTTCTTCACCTCTGACCTCGCTCCTTTCTTCATGCCCTGGCGTGGCGACAGAGTGGAGACGGAGAAAAAGTGAAGATGAATGTGTGTGAATCTTAAAGAGGGAGAGGGATCAGGTAGAAGAGGGAAGAGACGGCACAGCAGAATGTTACCTATCCAGTTTGCAGAGGGAGTCGGGCGACATTCTTTCTATACGTGTCAAAGTGAGTCTGGTTATGTCAGACAATGCTGGCCACTGAAATGATGCCAAATGCTTTCTACATGCATACTCTTGTTATCTTGATATGAGGCACAGACATCATGTGACTGAGGGAAAAAAGTACATACAACTCACTTCGGAAGCAGATTTTTTTGCTTCTCTAGTATTAAAGTTCCTTTACACACCAAAGTAAAGCTAGAGTGTGAACGGATGTTGTGATCTGTCAGGAGTGAGTCACTGATAATTACTCAGACAGAAACTAACTAGCTGCAAGTCTTGCTTTCATGTGCATTCAAAGATAAACATGACACATTTGTAGAGGCCAGGCGTAACAAGATATCACAAAATGTTGAGTGTTTATTAGAGCTGGAATTAATATTTTATTAACTGATAATGAGATTAATCTGAATCTGATTTTCTGATTGTTCCACAAAAATATAAAACAGGTGAATTTTTTTTAAATATCTGTGAAGCTGGTCATACAAAATATTACACCTGAGGACATTACTTTGAAATCAGGGAAACTAATATGCATTTTTACTGCTTCTCAAGAAAATAGAAATATCCATACATTTTTTCCATGTCAGTTTCAGCATAACTGCATTATGTGCACTATGTAAAAACCTTGCCACACACTGACTCTGCTGCACACGTCTCTCTCACTCTCTTGCTGACACACTCACACACATAAACAGTATCATCAGACATGTGTAAACTTAGACTGGGTCAAAACCACAGAATTTATAAACTTAGTGAGCAGCGCGATTGATAGACACAGAGAGGAGCAGTAAATTACTGACAAGAGCCTGTAAAACTGTAAAACATCAATAATTTACATTCCAAACATGCTCAGTACCACCCCCGCCTTTTGGCCAGGAAAAACCCTGAAAACCTAATGAATATATTAGGTGAAGTGGGTTAATTAAAAGAAACAACATTGTAGGATTTATTAATAGCAGATTAGGAACAAGACTCACCGCAGGGGGTAAACCTTCCACGGTTTTCTTCCCAGGAGGCACATCAGACACAGGCCTCTTCTTGAAGTCTGTTTTAGTCTTCTGCTTGGCCTGACCACTCAGGTCTCCCTCTGAAACCGAGGGCATGATCCTGGGCTGTCGTAATTCCGACAGCAGGTATAGAGGCTCGCTCTCCTGGATCAGGGGGTGAACCTTGTACGTCAAGGAGCCAGTTACGGAGGGGTCGAGGGAGGAGCCTATCGGATACGCAGGAGGAGGCTCCATGGGAGTCTGTTGCTGAAGCGGCAGAGAGGAAAGAGATGTGAGGCTGTGATGCTGTTGGGGCGCCTGCTGCTCAGGAACAATGGCTGCGATTGCGTCCTGAGAAAGTGGAGTGTGACGGCCGCTGTCATCCTCAAACTCCTCTTCTTCACCGCTGCTGTGAACCAGCATGGTGGCATCTGAAAGGGACTTCTTGTGTCCATACTGCACGTCCTCCTTAATGTTGCCCCTGTCCTCTGTCTTTGTACGCTCTAAGAACACATTGAGCTGGGATCCCTGAGAGCGACCACCACACAAGACTGGAGGGGGCGTAGCAGCTTCAGCTGCCGAGGAAGACACAGTCCGTTCTTTGACCCTCATCCCCTCGAGACTATGAGCCAATCCAGCGATCTCTATGGAATTACGCTTCTGAGCTTGGTACGGGTGTCTGTGTGGGGGTCCGCTGAAAAGAGGCTCTGACACCTCCTGCAAAGAGTGAGCAACAGGCAGACTGTCCTCCTGGAAAGTCTGGACTGAGTGGTGCACACGCCTCGTGATGATGAGGTCCGGGTTGCTGCTGCTGACATACAGGTGACGCGACAGGTCAGGCGTGCTGTTTGCAGGCCGAGGGTGGGCATATGGGTAGGGGGGAGGTGGTCGGTACACTTGTGTTCTCATGATGTTGGGAGCTGGATACTCCTGGGCTTGTTGTAACTGGACATTAGTGAGCTCTGGGACACTGACCGCCCCCACTACAGGCCTCCTCTCAGTAGGGTAGGGATATGGAGAGGGGCTGTGAAAGCTGGAGCCCAGATGGAAAGGATAATGGTAGTGTTGGGCTGCTCCACCATGCTCCCCCCTTATCTCTGGCTGGCTGTAAACTAGAGGGTCTGGTCTGCTGTAGGCGTACGAGTTTCCAATGTTTAGGTTCCTCATTGAGTGGCTCTGCCGATGCTCTTGAGACAAAACCATCCCTCCTCCGACTCCTCGGTTCTTCTGACGCATCACTGTCTCGTAATCCGGGGTGGCACGGTAGGAAGGCGGGATGAGAGCGCTGTGGCGATGAGAGGGGACGTAGTCTGGCCTGGTGATATCACTGGTGATGGAGGGATTGGAGGACATGGGTGAGGGTTGAAGGTAGTGTTGAGGATTGGTTAGAGAGCTGGTGCTGTGGGCGCTGTAGACGCTGCCGTTACGTAAACGCCCTCCACTGCTGTATTCCAGAGGAGGGCAGTCCAGGCTGGTCTGAGAGTGGTAGTAGTAACCATTCTGACTGTTCATGTACAGGTTGTCTGTGAGAATAAGGACAGCCCCAGATGGGTACAGAATTATAATTACATAACAATTTTATTTTGCAAACCACAGAGCAAAAACACAAGTAACATCATGTTAGGACTTAAATCTTCTTCTGCACTTGCTGGAAGTTTCTTTTTATACAGTAATTACCTTGTGATGATGTGTAAGGCTCTGTGAAATGGCCATTGTAGTGCATTTGGGGAGGTGGCATCATGTAAGCCTGAGGCTTTGGCTGTAAATCAACAAGAGAGGAATTTAGTTACTGCTCATATAATTGAAATACTGCTCTGTAATTAAATACTACAGTACTTTGAACATACATCACAGGCTGGAATACATGCAAGAAACATACACAGTATACATGAACATTACCAGAGAGATTCTAGTCGAGGATCTCCGTCGAACTGGGTTAACAACTGTGGGCTGGGTTTGGCTGTTGGGAAAACAAATGTGGGTCAGAAAAGGTGACGAAACATAACCATACGACTACTGATACTTTTCCAATTTCTTACTGAGGAATATATATTTCTATATATAGAATATCTATATTACTTATTGCTGTTTAACTTTGGGACGCACACACAAACAACAAAGTAAAAATCGAATTTAATACACACAACTCTTCCCAAATTCACCATATAACATCTTTTCTGCAGTGCAAAAGCAAGCTCGTTGAACTGGAGATTAATTTTAATTTGCAATTAACAAAACCTGTTAAATTTTTGCATGTTAAATGTCGTCACATTTCAGACAGTATGCAACAAGAACTGAGGTTGGATCGCCTAAAAGTCAGAAAAGATGTGGATTAGGCTACACATTTAAAATATACATTTCTTTTACTTGGACAAAAGAGTCACTACATGTTTCTGTCCAAGGTTCATTTCAGACACATGGAGTTTGTTTGCTGTGGTCACTATTAGGAAGGGGAATGACAAAGGGATGGGTGTTGGCACCTGCTCGATAGGCATACTGTAGGCGGTGGCTGACTGTGTTGCTCACCCCTTATTAGAAGGCAGAGAGGGACGAGAGAGCATTGGAAAGCGAGGAAAAGATAGAGTGAGGATGGACTTCTGGGAGCCCTCAGAAGGCAGGGGGTCACACTCCTCTCTGAAGAAGAGAGGAGGAGAGGAGGATAGATGTGAAGTGAAGGCAACACCAAAGAAAAGAGGAGACACATGCATGAGACGACAAGGAACAAAGAAACAGGAACTAGGCTAGACGTGTTTAAAAGAAGAGGGGAAAAAAGGAAAACGAAAAACACTTACAGGCTACTCTTGTTAATCTTATAAAACTTGAGTCTGGCCAGACACATCCGGCAAACATATTTGGAGGTTTCCATGTCTTCCTACATGAAAAAAGAGAAACAGAAAATAATCAGATGGTGAAAGGATCAGTCTAGATGTGTTGTTTTAAAGTTTCTGCAGTTTTCAACAAGTTAAGACCACAACAAAATAAATTGAAGACCTATTCCATATGAAGGAATATCCTGTCACTTATAATTGAAGATAATCTGAAACAGCCGAGTACAGAACAGCCCTTAAAATCCCACATTATCTTTCAAACTACAGACGGAGACAGTAATTATTTAGTACTTTGTTTGACTGGGCTGTTTGTGGGCTAGTTGTTCCACATTGGTCTTGTTAGTAGTTTTATTAAAGCATGCTCATAAAATTCCAAACTATGGATGCTGCCAAAACATTTGTCATTTTAAAGCGTGACATAACATAATTAACATGATTAAGACCTACCTGTATATATTTAAGACCTAGCACACAATATGTTAACATATTTAAGACTTTACAAACGCCTAAAATTAAGATTAGAGTTTGTTTTTAAGGTTTATAGAGACCAGGTTGCCATTCAAGTGGCCTCAGACCTTTGGACCCCACTGTGCAAATAAAAGCATCTGTGTATTCCCTCCACTAATGGTATTTGACTTTATGACCCACTCATACTCAAACAACCCAAATTAAAGCCACTAACATGTACACACAAACACACAGGTGCTTTGTTAAGACTAGCTGATGATAATCTCCACCACAAAGGCCATCTCTTAGTATGCTAAATCCAATAAGAGATCGCTATGTCCCTGGGGATGGGGCGAGAGAAGAAGGTGTAATGGCAGCAGAGACTTACAGTCTGGAACTGAACACTCTCCTCTCTGTTGGCGAGCTCCAGAGCAAAGAAGGACCTGTTGTGACTCATGTTGTTAATTTCATTCCACCTACACAGCCAATTAAAACCCAGTGGCAAAGAGAGAGAGAGAGAAAGAGAGAAGAAAACAACACATGATGTCATGGTGGTCCAAAAGCCTCATGGCATTTTTGAAGAGACTTTCTGCTTTAACAATGTATAATAAAAACCCATACACATGTGTGAGTTAACCTGTCTGGGGCTTAAATGGTATGTACGGTTCAGCCCAGGCTAAGAATGTTACTTACTCACATGACTGACAAAAAACATCCCCACAATCCTTATCAGCTATGACTGTCTCCCTGACTCATTTCCTCTCAGGCTACGTTTGAGAGTGCATTAAGGAACATTACAGGAGACAAGCTCTACCAAGAATAGTTGTGAGCTTTACCACATAACTCAACCTACACTGACAAATCATCTGATTCAATGTAATTACTGCTGAGAGTCACAAGTTCGCAGACAAAGCTTTTATTCAATGCTTCATTCCAAGAAGTGGCTCATATAGCCTGACTGTCTAGCAAATGTTCAGACAAAGGTTCTCAAACTTGTTTCTAGATTTACCTGAATAAAAGAAGCGGCCTTCCGTTTTTGTGCTTGACAAAGATGCCGTCAAGGCAAGATCCAATGGTGACATCTGTGCCTGTGCTGTCCTGTTTAGATAAGAAGAAATGGACAATCACAGATGTTGTTTGGGTGAAAGAATCTAAAGCAGTAGTCGCAATACACAGTTACACTTCTTTTGAGGTCTGGGGCTGTTGGGAAGATACAGGGTGGATGTCGTAGACCTACCTTGGCTTGATAGCTCTCCTGGCCATAGCCCTCCATTTTCTCCACCTCCTGCATGTACAACATCTCTGCCTCTGGTGCAGACAAACCCCTGAAAAGGACAAAAATGACAAGAAAGACATTAAGAAACAAACAATTAAATTGTAGAAAATGTAAAGACATGGACCCAGACAAGTAAATCTGGCAAAAACAAAGTAGAAGTGTAGTTAAAACAGTGATAAAAACAGTGTGTAAAATTAATCACAGGACATCAAGTACTGTAAATCCTGAGAGAAACTTGGTTAATTTCAGATGATAAGCAGGTTTAACAGATTTCTTTCTTTCAGGAAGATGTAAAAATGCATGCTTTCCTGTGTAATATGTGAAACTGTCTGTTGATGAAAACCCAGGACAAGCAGACTGATGCTTTTAAAAACCTGCTCACCTGAAGGACTGATAAAGCAGAGCCACTTTCTGAGTGGCTTCTTCCAGCACTCGCTCATCCTGAATTGAGTCCTACAGAGACAGGATTGATATGATGTTGGTAAAAACATATATGAACAGAACAAGTCTGAAGAATTTTTCATTTCTTGGGTTGAACGTGCAACAGAAAGTACTCACAATGGGGAATAGCACAAACTTCTGGAGAAACTCCTGGGAGTCATATCGATTGAAGTCTCCAAAGTCAGCTGTGATAGTAAAGAAAGATACAGTAAGAGAGTTATTGCAGGACAACATACCTCACATTGAACAAGTAACAAGAATCAAAACTTCTGGGTATAATCCTGGACCATAAATGATCGTGGTCAAAACAGATTGATAAGATTGTTATCAAAAAGGGGAGAGGTGCCTCAGTTGTAATAAGAGTTTCAAAGGTTATGCCACAAAACATCATTAGACAAGTTCTGAATGCTTTAGTTCTGTCACAGCTTGATTACTGTTGCATGATTTGGTCCAGTGCATAAGTGAAAGAGATTCAAAATCTACATCGCTATAGTGAAGTTATAGAACTAATGTAATGGATATGCATGACAGTTTGAGTTGGCTGTTAGTCAGAGATTTATCGATGCCTTGTTGAATTTAGTAAGAAATATACTTGTGACATCTCGCAGTTTGTGAATGTGTAAGCGAATACTTAAGGTGGTTCTAATGGGGATCCAACTAAAGAAGAAAGAAAGATGACACTGCCTCTTGAATAAATCACATTAGATGTCCATTTCTGCTTTTAGTATACGACAAAATAGACAGTCAGGACATTCAGGAATTACAGAAGAGTGTCTGCCTTTTGGAAAGTGTGTGATGACCAGATGGACTAATTTTAGGAGAGGAGCGGCCAATTTGTTATGGAGGGGAATTGCTTCAGTGTCTGACAACGTAGAGATTCAAAACTGTCACAGCTCCAGGCTGCCTGCTGGCAAACACTCACAACTATCTCGAGTATCCCAGGCATCAGCCATGCTCAGTGGCTACAACTGCCCTTCACTCCAAAATATCTCAGACAGGGGCACAAAATAGGAACTACACAACTTTATTTACAGCACAAAATAACACACGAGTTTGCAAGACAATTTAGGCAATCACTAAATCCTAAGAGCATGTGCAAGAAGATTCATGGGGCTTTTTTATATGAGGCACATACAGAAGGTTGGTAATTTCAACATGGCTGCAACAGTAAGTGATCTGAGCAGCTCTGCTATGCAAACACCCAGGTCAGTAAGCTGCAGTGCCTGATATAACTTTGCCAGCAGGGTTTGAGATTCTTCTAGATGGGCAAGAGTGGGAGGATGTGTCAGGGCCATAGACGGTATATACAGGGCTGAAGCTCATGCAAGGGATGATCACACACTCTCTTACACACTATTACACACACACACACACACACCTCTGTTTGAACTGAGGTTTATACTAATCTGTTCAGCAGCAAACAACCAAAACAAGACATTAAATGTAAAAAATAATAATTTTTCTCTTGCTCTGACGAAGAGGAAAAGGTGAACAACAGGCTTATTGCAGATTTTTAACAATCTTGCAAACATGAGTTAAATAAAAATCTTTAAAAAATTGCTAAATCCTTCTGTCCAGAAATCACTGAATATAATTACAGTACATTGTTTGTAGAAGTGAAGGGAGGTTTACTGTTTCAGCAGGTGTTTCCTCATTATTTATGGACTTGCGATTAATTATGTGTAACTTAGACCTACTTGTATTCACTGCAAAATGATTTACACCATGAAACACCACCCTAGTCCAACTAGTATTATACATTCACATTACCTTGCACTGCCAGGCTTGCTAAACGTACAGCTTGTTCGAGCAAGCATTGGATCCTGCCCTCCAGAACATCCTTCTTCAGCTGTAGGTAATACTGATATCTGTGGGGAAAGAGAGAGAGGTAGTTGAGTATAAAAGAAACAAGCAGCAAACAACCAAACATTATAACTTCATTTAGGTATGCTGAAACTATGAAATACCTTAAGATATACAGTATTTAAACCATTAAACTTGATGTGTCACTGTCTGCTTGGCTGGAAGTGGATGAGGAGAGAAACTGCAATGACACACTGTTATCTGGTTCTTTGGTTCTTTGGTGCATCTACATTGCTTTAGTCACCAGCTGATTTAGAGAAACATAAAATGCCTGATGTGGCTGCACAAAAGTTTGCTCTGCTCATACTCAAATTCATAACTTTTGACCGATTATCTTCAAAGTTCTTTTAACAAGCTAATGTGATTAGTGGCTTAGATAAGAAGCCTCGTGTCACTGGTGGAGCATCACCTTGTGATCTCCTGTTGCAGCTGGATGACGCTCGGTATGTAAAACACGACTCCAAAATAAACAGTGGGCTCCAGCCCATACTTGTCCAGCTGCTTTTTCAGCGGTTTCTCCAAGTCAATCCATCTCTGCAGGTTTTGCTTGTTGAAGTACCACAGACTGAAGTATGTTATCTATGAAACAAAGAAAGACAGCAAACACATTACACTGCAACCACACTGATCAAGGAAACTCTAGGTCTCTCTGGCAGAAACTTTTACATTTGGTCAATTCCATTCAACTAGAAGCAATGCCTACTTACCAAACACATATTCAACTTGTGCTTTTCTCTATAATAATATAACATATAATATTTACAACATACTTTAATGCAGACCTCAAACTCTTCTAGACTAGGCTGTTGGCACTCAGTCTTGTGACTGTCTGATCATCTCAAAATGAACACTGGTAAGAGAAGTAACCCCTGTGGGCTTAGACAATGTAGCTGAAAGAGATCTATTGTGATTTGCAGCCACGCTCAAACCAAAACTAGAAAATGAATTGTCAACGTAACTGTTGGCAAGTAGATACAACAGGTAGCATCAGTTTGCGACTGTGGGTAAACTTTGTGTAGACTTTACTCAACTAAGATAGTGATGTGAAATAATAATGACCCGGAACAGAGACAATTATTACATAGATTAGGGCATCTAATTTCTGTGAATGGAAATTGCCTACGATCCGATATAAAATGCGGTCCTCATTAGGATTTACCAACATCAGGCTGAGGCTGAATTAACAAATATTAATACACAAGCCTGCAATAAACAAGTGCAACTGTCAACTTGGTTGCATTGTTATTGAAAACAAATATCATTACTTATCATAATGAATCTCGCTCATAACAAAAGCTGCTAATTTCTTCTATGAAAGACTGGCGTTCCACAGACAGCACTGCTGACATCCAAAACAAACAAGAACTGCTGCATATTGCAAAAACTTCAAATGTTGGCGGAGGTCTGCCACTAGCACAACAAGCCACTGGAACAAATTCTTACGACACGTCTGCTGTATATTCAGCAGGTTCTACTATTGAACATACAACTAGGTATGAAAGTGCTAAACTTACATCTGTTTCAGTTCATCATGATTAATCTGTGTGATGAGTGAGTTTCATACATGGTATTACATAAAAACATAGAATAAGTCATTTAAAATTAATATTAAACTCTCACACACACACACACACACATATTACACAATGTGAAGAAACAATGATACACTGGTTATCTTGGTTTCTGTTATTCCAGGTAAGAATGTGTCAACAAGACAAAAAAAAGAACCTCTACAGCACCTTCTTACTAATGGGAAATCTGATAAAAATCTATACAGGGAACAATCAGCACATGTATTTGCAGAAGGAACATACATACCTCTCTTAACTCGAGTCTCTGGGCAACTGCCTCCAAACATTCCTGCCCAGTGCTCTCCACTGAAAGTGTAAACTCAACAAACTCTCCATTGAGCTGCTGGATCCGAGTGACAAGACAGCTCTTGCTTGAAACCGTATACCTTCTGGTCCTTTTGAGTTTTAGGCCAAATGGCAAGGGCATGTTTCACACTTCCCCCAGGAGGGGAGGGAGGTCTTCACTTGGTCCAGGAGAGATTATCCTCCTAGCTGTCCTCTCGAAACTTGCGTGAATGTTACCGGGTTCATCATCGACACACGGGTCTGAAAAAAAGACAAGACAAGACACGTCTCAAAACTGAGACAACAAACCAAAACAGGCGAGCGTGCAGTAATGGAGGAGGGGCAGCAAGATGTGGGAGAATCACAACAATCACAGCGACACACGCAGCATCTAGTAAACAAACCTGGTCTGTCACTTTAAAGTCATTCCATTGAATAGTGCATTTCAACTCACCACATTGATTTCATTAGATAGCAATTACACTCACTTGATCACATTTTAAAACCAATCAAGTGACTTTTGAGCAACTTCTATGATGATATCTAACTTGAGTAGAAGCTTTGCCAGCGATTTTTCTCCCAAGGTTGTGGTTTAAATAAACCCCCCATCCAGTGAATAGCCAGATCCAAACAGCAACCTGTTTGAATACGCAGCAGTCAAATCCCTGCCGTGCATCCACCACATTCATATCATTATCTGCCCTGTAACGTCTCTTGCTTTCGATGCCACGTCCACAGACTTCTGCACCAAAAGTTTAACACTCAACCAACAACCTTTGCAGCTTAATAAAACTATTACCTATAACTTAAATTAGCTTGGACGCTAGCGTGCTAACTTACGTTCCAGTGAGTAGACGACACCCTTGGGGGAAGCTGACGTCGCCGGTAAATATTTTGGAAAAGAAAAAAGAAAGAACCGTTCACGTTCCCGGATGTTAACTAGCAGCCCGGCCGGGGCTCCGTCCTCCAGGATTCCGCCATTAAGGTCAATAAATCTCCACTTTTAAATACACACCAGAGTTGAGAGGCGGCTCACTTGGCTGCGGTTAGTCTCTGGATCACAACGGACTATGCAGCCCCACGCCTCCCGCTGCTGCTCCGACAGTTCACTCCAGTTCCCGGCGTGGTTCGCTTCCTGGGATTGGAAGAGCAACAAGTGTATTCGGTCTACATCCGCGGCTCTATAGTTTTAGTATTCGTGCTTCAGCAGCTTTATTAACACGGACACTACCCCGGAATATGATTCAAATTGACTATGTATTAACACTGATGATTATCGTAACACTTTTTACTGGATTAGACGCTTGAAATATCCATTATAGTGTCACCGTGGCGGAGGGATACGCGCAGGGTTTGTGAGTCATGACATCAGACAGCTGGAATGCCGGTCAGTGTGAACGGGACAGCTGCTGTCCGCTGATCTGTCTGTTTACCTTTTACATCGACTGACAGCTGTTACACTATTATTATATATATTTATATTTATTCACCAGTTTCTGTTTGCAAATTGTCCCAACATGTAATCCTCAATATGTGGCAATAACGCGTGAGTGTGTGTGTAAAGCTGCAGGTTGTGAAATTAACAATTTGGAAAGTGATTTTTTAAATAATCACGTGCAAGCATCCAGGAATCAGAAGAATACAAAATTTATTGCAACTGCAAAGACACTTTCTGGTGACAGTCTGCTACACGTCAGAGGCATGTGTCAAGTGAAACCACGCTGGAGAAAAATGAGAAGTTTATTCCTAATAAAAATAGCTTTTCTAAAAAAAAATTGAAATCTGAAAATGAAGCTGCAACATGCTTAAGACCTAAAGGTCCAGTGTGTAGAATTTAGTTACATCTAGAGGTGAGGTGAGGCTCTGCTCCCCCGATGTATATAATACATTCTTAAATATAAAGGGCCCATATTAGGGTAAACACAACAATAAATTGTACAATTTAGATGAAACACACCAGTGAAAACATCACCAGGATTATTTTACATTCGATTTCAGCCAATATATCCCTTTCACCTAAATCTTACACACTGGACCTTTAACACTGCAAACCACTCAAAGTAAAGGATGCTACTAATTCATTCAGTTAATTCCACACATATGACATCAGTGTAGTGCTACAGGCTATGTAACAAACAGAATTGTAACAAAAACAATTTCCCCCTTGGATCAATAAAGTATTCTGATTCTGATATCCTCTGCAAATTTGCAAAGCACACATCATGCTAGTTTTATGGAGCAATAATTTAGAAAATGTTTATAGCATTACTTAGGAAATGAACTGGACCTTTATCCCAAATTATATTATAATGGTGTTGATTTTATTGCAGAGTTTTAGTTTGCTTATGTGAACAGTTCAGTGTGTTTAAAAAAAAAAGATTAGAAAAAAAACAGAAAACCAAATACAACACCTGGGCTTTGAAAACTCAACCAGTGTAAAATCACATGTACAAAACTATTCTTTCAGAAAATACAAATATTACGTTTATCTCATCTGGTAATAAAAACATCAAAGAACTTTCAATCCCTGAATGCAAACTCAGAACTCATCATCGCTGACGGAAGCAACTGTATTTTCGAGTTGCTCATTGGCGGTGTCAGTGTCATGACAGTCTGTGTTGCTGGACACGTGAAGCGACTCTGACAAACGTCTTCCCAGATCTTCGAGCTCTTTCGATTGTCCATCATCGTGACTGACCTCAGCTTGGTCTGGAAGAAATCCTTCATCGCTGGTTATAGTGGTTATCTCATGGTTTTCATTACTGATTTCTTCATTTGTTGCAGTTGTGTCTGGTTCGTTGTGTTGGACGTCCTCTTCACTGACTCCTGAAACATTCTCACTGAGCCAAGAGGAGCCAGTGCACTTTTCTTTATCATCATCCTCCTTGTCCTTTTCATTTGTATTTGTCGGTGAAGATGTCCCCTCAGGAGAACCTAACACTGCAGACACTGATAAGGCATCAGTGTAATGGGGTGAATCACCGTTTATGATCACTGACGCATAGGGGAACACATCGCTGTCTTTGGTCTTCACTTGTTTCTCCTCTGAGTCCAGATATGGCAGGAGTGAGTCGAGCAGATCATTCTCCTTCTTTTCAAGCTGTGCAGTGGAGGTGGATGTGTTGGCTGGCTCTTCAAAGTCTTTACGCAGCACTACCAGAAGGTGGCGCATTTTACCCTAAAAGAAACAATACATTCAGAGGGATGAGAAAAAGTTCAAGAGCCCTCATATTGTTTCCAAGATCTGCAAAACATATTTGACATCTTGCCTAAGTTCAATACTCACCTCATCAAGCTGATGGCGATTCATTTCAATATGGTGCTTTATCACCCTATCTAGGACCCTGGCAGAGGACAAAGACACTTACACCACAGTAATGACTCAGGAGGTTGTAAAAAGCACTAGCCACTATTTAATTTAGTCAGTTTTGTGTACACATGTTCTCACACGAGGCAACAAACCTGTCAGAGATATGCCCCCTGGACAAGATGTCCTCGGTTACAGCAGAAATAAACTCGAGGTACATTAGTTCTTCTTCCCTGTTAAAGAACACATTAGAATATTATATAAAGAATAAAACATTATTAATTATTATTATTAACATTAGTATGAAACAGAGAACTTACTCTGCAGAAACTTTCTTCATCATTGGAGATTTCACACCCTCCCGTGAGAACCTAGAAGATGAGCGTTAAAGTCTTTAGAATCTTTATGCAGGAAAAACAGGCACTACATTACAGATAAAACACAACATAGTATTTCAACTACACAGTTTTACCTGGATGAGGAGTCAAATAAATAACGCTCTCTGCTCTTGTTGAGTTGACTCTGTTGTCTTGATTCTGATAGATATGTGCCATTCAACTCATCCTCAGACCATTCATGCTCTGTAGTAAATCCCTGCAAAACAAAAAGGAACGTAAAACATCAATACTGTGGAGGTTCTCTCATCATAAAATGCTTATTTTAGTTTGTGTGGGAATGTGACTGTACTTTACATTCAACTTAATATTTATGGACAATAAAAACACCACTACTGCTGTATGAATCTTCATATCTAATTCTTAAAATTACCTGAGATGGCTCATCAAAGTCCTGTGTGTATTCCTTGGTTTTTGTGCTGCATAGAATACACAGAAATTAAGATATTTCAAGACACACATGCTACACATGCTGTATGCTTTATTTCTATCTATTATCATTTGAGACCTACTGAAAGGTTTGTTGAATACCTTCTGTGATTCGTCTCCTGCTGCATCGGTTTGGAGCTGGTGCAGTCCTGAGTGAGCTTCCTTCGTGGTGCTCTGTAGTAGCGATATTTTTCCAGGTATGAACTCTTCTCTGACTTCAGGGTCTTGGGGGTGAAAGGTTTGTCCTGGGTAAAGTGCTGTGAGTGTTTCTGGAGCAAATCTCCACCGTATGTCTTCTGGACAGGGTCCTGGAAAGTCTTGTAACAACTCTGACCTCCTGAGGCGGCCAGTGAACATGCCGACTGCTTTCTGTGCAAAGTTGACTCTGGGCTGCGGAACTTAAACTCTGATGCTGGGCGAGCGTGACGAGAAAGGTCCCATTTACATGACTGATAAACAATCTCTTTAGCGTGAAAGGAGGTGTTGAACCTCGGACTGGAGACCATGGAACTCCTCGAGCAGAGGTATGGGTTGTCATCATACTGCACGGATAATGTACTCTAAAAATCAAAACATCGTAATGAATCAGATTAGATACGTACTGAAAAAGTTTGAGTGACAAATAAAGTTGACATTATTATGACATTAAGCAATGAGAAAACACAACGGTGAGTGTGTCTTGATATCTCACCTGTGCTGAGGAGCAGGAGGCTCTGCTATTCCTCTGTGAGAGAGAATGGGCTGACTGAGGTCGACCTGACTGAGGACGACCCCCTTGCTTCAAGCGATCCTGCCTGATCTGGTCATTGTCTGTAAGCAGTATGACATGAATAAGTAAAGAGAATAGTTTATTCATCGCTTTCTATCCATCACTGGCAGAAAATCTGTTTTTTATAATTTCATATGTGTTATAATCCAACACTGTACATGCACTGATATTTAATACACCCTCTGGGTTATTCTGTGATAAATATCTACATTGGTCTCACATCTCCTTTACCTTCCTTCTGATTTACTTAATTTCCAGGAATGACTCTGCATAACCCAACAAAAACTGTCAAAGACTCGCTGCACTTAACTGTGAGCTATGTGAGGGTCAGTAGAGCAAGTATGATAGTGCAGTAACAACAAAAGAGCATGACTGCAGCCATTAGAGCTGAGGATAAGATGCATCCTGTACTTAAATGTGATGACTGGCTGCATTATGTTATTGCTTATTGAGGCTACTGTCAGTGCAGCCTCTTACAGGATGAACCTCTTCCCGAACTAATGCGCAATCTTGCAAAGTGATGACTTCAGAAAGAAACTGTTGGTGTTTCATTCCGATTAACAGATAAAACTAGCATTTAAACTTATAATTGTGCAATTATTCATCATTGTGGTTATGCTAAAATTAGAAATATTATACCTCAAATGCAGCCCAGAAAAAGTGTTTTGAACTGAATTAAACAATTAGCATTTCATTCTTGGGTACTTACACTTTACACTATGTGTCATGCTTTTGGGTACTGAGGCATCAATGGCAGCTGTGGAAGAAGAATGAAAAACAAAATGTAAGATTATAATATTATTATAAAATTCCCCACAATAGATTATGAATCCAGTTTGTTATGCAACAGAGCTGCATGTTTTAACCACCTCACGATATATACATTTCGTGAATTTGTTTGGTCCACTGAATGTCACTATAAGGATCATAATCTATTCCAGCCTCACCTTTAGCTGAGTAAACCTTTTTGTAATGAGACACCATGTGGTCTCTAATGATGGACTGTGTCAACTTGCTGGAAGAGCGCTGGCAAAAAGCTAAAAAGACACGGAGAGGACAACATACAATAGACTGTTAAAATGAGGTCTGATCTTACTCACTTTCATTTCTCATGGTGATATTAGCTGATGTGAATACTTACGGCTACTTTTCACACTCTGCCCTTTCACACCAGGGCTGCTCCCCAGTCCAGATGACACACTCCCTAAAATAAAAACAGAGGATTATGGACATGTTGACAATCTGAAAATGTGAAGACTGACAACTGAATGCATTTCAGTGGAAGGATGCAGCATGGGTCAGGGATGAACCCATGACATTTTGGTGTGGACCAGGATGAGGGTGTGAATCTGCTGTATTTCCAATATGTTGTTATGTATTATTAGTAGTAGTATTTCAAGGTAAGTTGCAGTTATAACAATGAATTATTTTCGAAATAAACATCAGCTTTAGTCTTGTCAGTGCTACCTTTATTTAAGTTGTTTGTATTTCGGTTGTTGGTATAGTTACACTGATAAAGAGTAACACGCCTTTATTAAAGCTATTATTAGTCGTTATTAAGATATAAACTAACATTAGCAGTAAACTGGAGCATCGTATTGAGTTTAGAGAACAAGCAGTTGAAGGAAAGAGTTGATCATTGTCTAGTCTAGATAACAAGAGGACAGGTTAGTGACTCAGTCACTGTGAGTTTATCTTTACTTTGCTGTCAAAGCACCATTCGGATATGATTACATCTGCTGATTAATTAGCTTCTTAGCTAGCTAATGCTAATAGCATTAACAAACCTGTTCTCGACTCCATGGTACAGTTCCACTCAGCGTATCCCATTTTCCACGTGAATATTCCGGGACAGAGAGGGTTCAGCTCCGACACATCCACAAACAACAGTGCATTTTACCGTAAACATGTTTAACGCTGTGATAAAACCAAGTAGCGTAATGCTAACGAGCTAATACCGGGGGCTAATAAGCAGATGAGGGGCTGAGCAAAGCTTCCCCGTCGCCATGCCGGTTGCTACGATTGCCTACGTCATCACGTACGTGCGTAAAGAGAGACACGCCACAGAGCGAACAGCAAAAAGACAAAGAAAAACTAAACTTAAAGTGACACAGGACTGGAGAGAGTGACCTGATACAACGATAGGGATCAGATAATTAAAAAAAATGAATCCAACGGCATAATGATTATATACACTATTCACTCAACACACTACATATGATGCCAAAGATGATCTTATTAATCTTTATTCCCTAATCCAAAATGTAGATCCAGTAGCCTTCATCAGTTGAGTTCACATTAAACAATACACATGCTAAAAAAGTGCACAAAGTGACCGTTAATCCCGGAATCACAACACTGTGGGACTTCTGGGTGTGGACCTTATATACAGTCCATGGTGTGGACGTGGTATTTTTGGCAGCGCTGTTTGTTCATTAGACAAGTAGAGTGATGCAAGTGGAGCCAGAGGAAACCCATAAACTGCAGGGGAACATATAAACAGCCCTATATTGTCCTCAGCAGTCATAAAATACAGTGGCATGTGCACTGGCTGCTTCTGTGCCTGACAATTATGCAGGATTACGCAGAAATGCCCCCCCCCCCCCCCCCCCCCCCCCCCCACTTGCACTGAATTTCATTTTCGTAATAGATATTCTGATATTCACAAGATGAGTGCTACTTGAAATTCAACACCACTTGAAAACAGGCCTCTGTGTGTGGAAGTCTCACAACTTAAAAGCCTTTTTTCACAACTGACTTGTCATTGAAGGATATGCACAAGTCTTACTGAGAGCGTTTACATTACATTACATTACATTTCATTTAGCGGATGCTTTTATCCAAAGCAACTTACAATAAGTGCATCCACCATGAGGGTACAGACCCGGAACAACAAGAATCAAGTAACAATTTAATTCAAAAGCCAATTCCAATTCCCAAAGTCATGTCACTGTGATGAAGACCAGTGTGCACAACACCAGGACCCTGAAACTGAAGCAGTTTGACAGCCCAGAATCCACCCAACATCCATTACATTATTTATATCTGTGCTTTTCCTGCTGTTACATGTTTAAAAAAAAATGAAAAAGGCCTTTACAGCATATACATCTGTGTTATCTGCCTCATGCCATTGAGGATTGAGGTTATTACATTTTAGCCAAGATGTTCTACTTACCTTTACTTTGACTGAAACCATTCTGTGGTTGTGTGGCTTTTAAGAGCAATAAAACCTGGATTATTAATTCAAGTTCTGTGCCATCCAGGCTCCCCCCAGGCCCCCAATCCCTACTAGAATCACTGAGTCCATGAATAACCATGAGATGGCTGGTACCCATATATCATGTTATCTCAACATGAATTGACCATGTGTGCCATGTGCCATCATTGTGAAACCAGCAACCATCATTGGCCTCATTTACAATGTGGCAGTGTGAAAAAGTGACCAAAGAGAATCAGATTAAACTGAGTGTTACCGTGAGAACATTCTGTCAGCAGCATATTGTTGTTCTGCCATGTTCCTTGTATTGTTTGATGGACCTTTTAACCCCTCACGTCATTTACCAACAAAGGATTGTGAATGACTTATTACAGTAGTGTGACAGACAATGTGGGGAACATGGAGTTTTTAAACATTATCATCAGTCTTAAAAAAAACACATAAAACGTAGTCTGCAAAGATATTTTTTACGTTATTTCCCTGATTTGATATCATTTCAAAAGACACATGAGGAGCACACATTAAAAAGGTTATATTAAATGAATCTATTAAAAGTATACATCACACTTCACCCTAAAATCCTCTTAATCATGCAATGAATATGTTTTAATGCTGGTAACACCACTGTTAATTTGTACATACAGAGAAAGAAATGTCTCTAATTTCATTTTTAGATAAATTCAGAAAGATAAATGCAGATTTTATTTAATGTAAGTCCTCAGTTAGCTTTGTCAATATGCTTGAACCACAAATCACAGGCCAACGGTTTTAAAGTATACCAACAGTTCCAGTCATGTGTTGTACTTGTATTAACAACCTTTATATTGACTTTTTTCAGCAGTTATTGCAAGTAATTAGTGTTCACTATTATTATGAGTTTTATTTAGTTTCTACATTAGCAACTTCTAGATTTTTTAAAATATACTATTAAATAAATATATTAATTCAAATGATTAGGTCATTAAGTCACAATTAACATCCAATTGAAATTAATGAAAACCAAAACCTGCCTGTAGGGTAAAGGGTGAAAAAATATTGCATGGACGAATGGACACAAACATGCAAAAACAAAAAGTATTGTCCTTAAAATTATCAATAAGCTGCAAACTTGCCACATTTAGACCATGGGACGTTTTGGGCATAAAAAAAGCAGTTGAACAATATCCATTCTATCATATTTGCTGAATTAATTCACTGTGTCTTGTTATTGCCCCTCAATGTTCGGCCTCATCATCTGACTGGGTTCAGGATTAAGGGGGATCCAGCAGGATGGAAGGGGAGACTCGTCTTTAGCTCAGTTCATAAATAATGCACTGTTTCCCATACGTGGATGATGTCATGCTCTAAGTCTGCCTCTGATTTGGGGTACCACATCTCCTGCATCCCGCCCCGCACCATGTGCGTAGTCGCCGGCTGCCAAACGATGAGAGGATAACCACCCTGCTCTGGAGGAAAAGGCGAAAGAGTGAGTATCCATTAACCGATTTTACAAACAAATCAGAATGGATGTGCATTTCAATATAAAAAGCAGGTGGAGTGATGTGCTTTGGGAATGAAAAGGGAGGAGAGCGTCCTCCCTTCATCCCCGTTGTTCTTGCTGCCGGCGTAAAACGCGTGCGTAAAGTTGCCGGTTTGGACGCGCTCCTGCTGTGTTTTCGGACCGGACCACTGACCACTGGTGTGTGTGAGGGTGAGATGGGATGTGGTTTGGTCCTCAATGCGTTGCGACAGCTCAGAGAGAAGGTCTCACAAGTATCTCAGTGTGGCAGGCGATCAGCACTCGTCCAAACGAGGCGGAGGAGGAAGAAAAAGAGGAGGGGGCACCAATAGAGCAGAAGCAGACAATGCGGTTAGGCGATGCGCTTGTTCCTCTGTACAATTTACAACCACATCCAAGTAAAGATGACATGAAGATGTGGCAGAGGGATTCCTCCTGATTAGCTTATTTTCTTAATTTTTTAAAATTATTTTTCATTCGCACTGATCATCCCTTCGTGCGTTTTGGTTGAGAACAACAAGCGAGATGAAATTTCCAATAGAACACCCGAGAAAACAAGTTAACTGGGACCCGGAGCAAGGTTGGTAAATACTGCTTTTTAAATGTCTCATAAGTTGATGTATATGTCATTTTAAAGAAGCCTGAACATCAAACCATTTCATTGAAATACACGAGACACAACAAATCGTATCAGGCTTCACTATTCGCCATTTCAAACTGTTTATTTATCCTTAATTTACGCAATTTGAACTTTCAGTTATTTAAATATTCTCGCAGAGCTAAAATGATCAATAATACAAAACAAATGGGATTATTTCTGTCTCCTCTCCATCCTCCTCTCCGCCTTCTGTGTGGAGCAGCGCTGTGGGGAGCATCAGCTGCGTCAAGGTGCCAAAAGAAAGTATTGAGATATACCGGAACAAGTTTCAAAATAAAAAGAATGTTTCCTAAAAAGTAGGATAATATTATCGCAGCCTACTTATCAATTTATCTCCAACAATATCCAATGAAGCTACACCAACAAAAACATTGTTTTCAGAGACGCAGTCCTCCTAAATCCTCCAAAGGGAAATCTCTGCACAAACTAATGAGGGTGTTTTTGGCAAATGTTTTCCATAAACTACACAATGATTTAACTTGGTCTTCTTTTTCTATTAAACTGAAATGTTATGCTCTGACATATAAACTACATGTAGACTCAAAGACAGAGTACTCTTTATATTTTCCCTTTGTAAATGTTTTATTGTGACTTTTATTTTCTACCGGAAGTCTTGGCTCTTCGTGTATTATTCCATCTGGCTTGACTCTTGAGTTTGAGGCTCAGCTGCTGAGTTCAACGCCTGCAACATGTCCACAGGGACCAACTGGGCTAAGAACCCGAACCGAGCCGGTCCAAAATCTGCCCTCATGCTTTTGCTATGACTTGAGTCGCTTTGTATTTCTGTTCATCAGTGACTGGGTCATTCTTTTGAACCATAACATGTGAGGCTGAAATGTTGAAAAGCTGAATATTTGTTGTCCCACCACAACTGAGTCCCACTAAACTGTGCAGTAAATGGCCGCTGAAACATCTCTCATATATTCTGTCTCATTTTTTCAGTCAGAATTGAGAAACATCTCATTTATTGACCTGAGTCAAACATTGTCTCTGTTTTGTTCAGACAAGCATAGAGACAGAGAGAGAGAGAGAGAGAGAGGGAGAGAGAGAGAGAGAGAGAGAGAGAGAGAGAGAGAGAATCAAATAGTATCAGATAAAAACCACTGCTTTCCACTGAGTGGCTTATTTAATTTGCAAAAATCAATAGTAGGCAGCTTCAGTGGTTTGAAAAGGATTTTAGATTTATGCCACGCAGCATCAGAAATCTGAAACCACATTATGCTCGTCACAGTGGACTTTTGATCACTTGAATATACGAGGTACAGTTTTCTGAAGTGCCAGCAGCCTCTGCCCTGCTGCATACAGCTGATTTACTCAGGTTATAGATTTATATTCTTTTATTATAACTGTTTCAATCATTTAGATGTGTGTGATACAGCCTTATAGCTGCCTCTGTCCTGCTGCACAGAGCTGATTTTCACTCACTGGATTTAAAACAATTAATGTCTCTATATGATACTACGATTAATTTGGTCAAATCTGCATTTGATCTACAAGTATATCTTCTAGTACATCCATTAAAATGACCGCACCGAGTTCTTCACAGGATATTAATGTGGGGTCACATTCTTTTTGCTGCTTCACCTCTTAGTCTTGATTTTCTAATTCATCACTTGTTCTAAAAATAGCCCAGCCGCCGCCCTTAAAGGGCATAGACTGTAAATTGAAAGTGGCAGCTTTGCACCTTCCCAAGCTCCTGACATTACTTTGCTTTTATTGATTCACTCATGATACAGGCATTAACTAACAAGATTCTTAGCTGCTGGACCAGAGAATGAGACACTTCCTGGATGTCCTTGAGTCATCATGGCGGATGTGTGTGTGTTTCTGGACGTGTGTGCGTGTGTGTTGAATATCCCATAAGTGAAACTATCCCATTAAACAGAAGTGTGCCTCTCTTAAGCAAATCTATTTCGCATTCCTACCTTTAAGAATTGCATCAGTGTAGACAGCAGTCTCCGCCCGTGACTACAGTGCACTCCACGCCCTCCGTTCTGACTGAGGTGGGGGCATCAGGGGTGAAGGCCGCTGCTCTGAGTAGTTTATAAAATGCATCGTATATAGGAATCTAAATTTGGCTGCTTCCATGGAGCTGCTTGCTTCATGGTTGACCTGCTGCAGCACATATGCATTTAGTATAAAACCCACCCAGGAGCCAATGACTGAAAGTGGCAATTACCCTTCACTTATAGTCGATTAGAAAAATTGAATCTTTATCCTCAGTAAAGAGAATAATTCTGTTTTCACCCGTACCCAACAATACTTCAGTGTTTGTCTGTGAGGTGTGTTATGTTTTCACCCCTATTCATTTGTACGGGTGACGGAAGAAGCCTTTCTTTTTTTGCACAGTTCAGATCAGGCCTATTCAGGAATTATTTTTACCCACTTTAATTAACATTGCAAGATGTTTTTTGACAGTTTCACTGATTTCCCAGTGGATAATTCATGGGCAGTGATGTAAAAATCAGGCATATTGCTGGACTGACTTAATATGATCACATCTGGTGCAGCTTCATTGAAATGTATGGGACTGTTTGGCCTTGGGAGAGGTATTTGCTGTTTAGTGCCATTATATGTTCAATTACTTCAGTCATTTTGACTTACTGAATATCAATGCAATCTTCAGAGACTGAAATTAATTAATGGCCACATTTCAGAAGTTTTTTCCAGGTTTTGATTGCGTTACATTCAATTAATAATTTCTGTATTAGTAAGTAAAGCAGCAGTTGTGGTCTTCATCATCACAGGTCCAAAGGTTTTTATGTGTGGAACCCAAAGTAAATTCTCAGGGAGGAAAACTCTTGAGGCTACACACTGTTTTCAGGCTTTGGTACAACGGCACACCAGAGTTTTAGCTTTCAGTGTCAGCTTTGCAAAGAATCTTTATTGGCCCAAAAGGAAAATGGGTTTAAATGAATCATATGGGAGGTAATATTCTATATTTTGATACCTGCAATGAGCTAATGTTTATACCTGCATTAAGCTTTGCCCCTTGTTGGTACTTTATCTGGAAAGAAAGTGCCAATAAAACCTAAAGGTGTGAGACAATACTGCAATTTAACTTATTCCATCAATTCCATTTCATTTTGTTATTATTGTAACAGATGGGTTATCACAGACGGGGGCAAAGGACAAACACATCAAGAAAGGAAAAATATCAAAATGCTTTTCAAACCAAGCCAACAAAGCATCATCTCAGAATACTTTATCTCATTCTCTCAATGTGAGGGCACATTTTTACTGTCCAATCTATAACAGAGTGCCTTGAGCCAGTCATTTGAAGGTTCTGCCAGTGAATTCATTCATCTTCAATCATCTGAACAAATTAAAAAATAATAATAAAATGATTTGACTTTTACTGTCCCGATCCTCCAAAACAAAGTAAACTGGATTGGCATGCATTGCCTTGGATCAAGCTCTCCTTAAATCCAGTGAAGTTGGACCAAATTATTCACACTCTTTGATATCACTCCCCCAAATATGCCTGATTTTTTTCATCAGGATCTATTTATTATTCTTAGAAATTGGCGAAAATGTCCAAAAACATTGTATCTCACGATTTTAAAGAGAGTGAGCTCAAAAACAGACAAATTAAAACACAACCTCCCTGGTGGAGGTAACACAACATGTATTAATCCAATCATGCTCCTCTCCTCACTCTTTCCTAGTGGCGGTCCAGACCAACTTGGTCCCCCCCAAAAAGGTCCAGTCTGGCATGGCGAAGTCCAGTCTGGTCCAGGCCAGTGTCGCCACCATGCAGAATCCAATGGGCTGCGACCCGAAGACCAACGGCCACTGTCCACTGCCACGTCTGTCCATCTCTTCCCGCTCCGCCAGCGTGGTGGCCAGCATGGATGCCAGCTGCGACGGCATGGCCGCAGCCCTCCACTCAATGATGAAGTGGAAGACGGTGCTGGCAGTGTTCATAGTGGTCGTTCTCTACCTGGTCTGTGGCGGCCTGGCTTTTAAGGCGCTGGAGATGCCGTTTGAGAGACACCAGAAGACGAGCATCACCCTGGAGAAGGCTTCGTTCCTGAAGAGACACTCCTGTGTTAGTCCTGACGAGCTGGAGGCGATCATCAAGGTGGGTGCTTGAAAGTTTTAAGAAATGTTAAATATGCTGTTAACGGTTCTTTTCCTGTCTTGTCCTTCCTGCTGCCCAGACAGCCTTGGAATAGTACACTGCATCCATTGCATCTATTAATGACCAGCAGATTAGTCTGTAAGGAGATGGGAAGATAAATGAAAATGATCTGATACATAACACTGAGTGTCACAGAGTCTGATTGCTAGATAAGAAGAAGTCACTGGACTGACCTTTATAGTAGCAGCTTTATAGATGGTGATTGCTATCAGGGGGTAATTGGGGGTTCTCGGGGTAATTAATTCTGGTTTCATTAGCTAATCACATGAGCTTGAAAAGCTTGGATGCAGCTTCCTTTCATGTTCAGACTGTCCTTCAGCAAATGAGCCTTTAATCACACTATGGCTTTAACACTGCTGCACAATTTTCAGATTTATCTCTCACGTGCACATGACACATGGTGATCTGAACATCATGGATCATTTCATAATTTAATATCCATCCATTTTAACACTTACTATGATTACAGGGATGCAAATATTCTGATATTAACTCGATTAAGTCAAAAGTCTGAATGATAATTTAATGTAAACATAATTTTCTGATTACTGTAACCTGAACAAGGTCATACTGGCAATATGCCTAATATGACTAAACAATAAGACGTATTCTGATCTTAGATTATGTAGATATGTATATGTCTTAATCCTATTGGAGTTTCTGCAGCATTTTAAAGCAACATTGACATTTACGACACCGCTTGACATCATAATCATAATTTGCTCTGTAACGTGTAAACAGGAATATGAATAAGAAAATTCTATCAGCAACTAATCATGAATTCAGATAATCTCCAAATCAGAGCAAGTTCAATAGTAAGTGGACTCATTCCAAACAGTTTCTCGCTTCGGCCTCATACATTTGTATTCATGTCTTCAGGCATCACAGATCGTGTAAGAGCTTTAGTTGCGGCAGTTTAATTGTTGCTGCTGCAGAGACCGACACTCAAAGGTTTTTTTGTTGTCAGCTTCAGTTCAGTCATCCCTTATCTGATTCCTCTACTCAACCGCTCCAGTGCTGGGAAATGATCCCAGCTCTTATGCTGAGTCAGAGAAGTGACTGTACCTGATGCTGTCATTCCATTCTGGTATCTGTTGCACATTTCAGAAATGCTTGTCAGCCCCAAGCACTTTATGTGGTGGACTTAGCACCTGCTTATATTTGCTGGGGTGGAGCTGGCACTGTCGAATCCCAGTTGTATGTATGAGTTTGTATGTTCTCCCCATGTTTGTGTTGGTTTTCTTCACACACTTCACCATGCAGATTGGAGACTCTAAGGTGCGAGGTGTGAATGTGAGTTAGAATAGTTGTTTGAGTCTGCAATTCGCTGGCGTCCTGTTCAGGGTGTACCCCACCTCTCGCTCAATGTTCTGGGATCCGCTCCAGCTCCCTGCTTGACCCTCAAAAGGATAAGTGGTATAAATGATGGACGGATGGATATCTATGCAGGTGGATTGGTTGAATTCACAAACACTGATTTATATGCGTTTTTATAACATTTACATTCGATTTTTTTACGCAGTGCTAATGCCAGTTAAAGGATTATGCAGGCACTGAAGCAGCAGCAGCTACACCCCCGACTTTCTACCCCCTGATTGGGTAAATGTCACAGGCAGGTCGATCCTTTAGCAGGAGGTATGGTGATACCTTCAGGGTTATGACAGGGACGCTCATAATTCTCAGTGACCCTTTGCGTCTGTTGATAAATACAGTGTGGTGGAGTACATGCTACTGGATACAGTCTAATGGTTCAGAACAGTAATATAAAGAGACAGTAACATACAGAAAAAATGTAAAATAGCTGTGTGCATATAGGATGTTCATCCTCAGAAACTAAGGTCGGTCAATGTGACCTTTGCGCTGCGCTCAGCTGCCCAGAAAGAAGAGCCACGCATTGATTTTGTTGCAGTTTCACTTCATGTACGAACCAATCTTAGTAAACAAGACTTACATGTTTTTGTTAAAATAGAACAGCGCCTCGCACTATCAATAATAAGTGCACGACTTTCCAAAGTGAGGCTTCGAGAACACCCACACATTTTGAATAAGGAAACTAGCTCCCAGCCACAACAGCATGGTTGTTGTGCAGGAAAAATTTTAAGCCAAATTTTTCAAAATCTTTTTTATCAAAACTGTGTTTTTAACAAGATTTAAAATAGATGAAGGAATAGTAAAGGAGATGATTGACTCTCTGCTCTTAGTACTCAAATTAAAACTCCATCAAAGTCCATCTGACAATAAAATTTGTAATATCATGTTATAATGATTTATAACACAGTTTGATATGGGCTGGAAAAAAATTCATCACATCATGACTTAACTGTGCATCTTACAGTCTTTACGAAGCATGTCGACGCTTCACCCTGCCCCCTGATATTTACACCCCAGAATTATGGGTCAAGATTTAAGGTCACCGCATCCAGCTGACACGAGCAGCTGGACGCAGGATTGGAAAATGATTTGAGATGTGTTGGCATGCGGTGAGTGGATAGTTTGATTTGTGAGGCGGTAAGGTGATGGAAAAATGTGGGACTAAGATCAGTCAAACTCTGACGTCCGTGTGGATGTGAGCTGTTGTCCTCAGTAGACTCAGGGATCCAAGCACATGGTGAATTGCAAATGGATGCATTCAGGACACTGTTACGGCTCCGAAGGGATGCTCTTAATTAATCATGGGTTGGTTTTGGACACAACATGCAATAAACCAATCAGAGTGACTTCTCCCGTCCCTTTTAAAAGCCTGGTGTGTTGGACCTCGGTGGATTGCTGTTCAAATCTTGAGAGCAGACCATCTGAATAAAAATAAAATATTGAGCATGCAACTGACTTCAGACAAGCTCTTTTTCAGTCCAAAGGTGCAATCAATTTCTGCTGCCTAAAGATAGCGGTGTGTGAACAATGCACCTTGTTTTAAGACCAACACTCCCATGGGTTGAAAGATATCTCACACTTTGAGCTGGGGGTAAGATATGGTAAGAGTTGTTTTTAGAAATGTCGAATATTTTACGAACAGAATATTTCACATACCTCACATGGAAATACAGTAATGCAAATCCAAATACAACATTGTAAATGATTTAGATTTGTAGCATGATCATAGCTTGTGACACAGATGCCAAGAGAGCACCAAGAACTTTTTCTGAGATAAGTAAAGGTAATATTCTCGGATTGTCTTTGGCTTGAAATAACCCAATAAAGAACCAACCACATGGCATTTGGTGTGCTCCACTTTCCGCTAGAATGGCTCCATTTGATGTTAGTGTCTTAAACACTCCTCCGGGGAATATTGGACAGCCTCACTATCTGCCACCCCCCTCCCCCCTTCTCCACACCCACCTCTGTTCATTCTTTTCTCGAAAATTATTTTTCTTCCCTCGCGGTGCATAACCTCGGAGCCACTCTCAAAACGAAACAAAAAAAATCAATGGCAACATTTCCTAAGGAGACGTGTGGAAATAAAAACCTTTGGTGTGCTGTGACTGGGGTCTGGAGGGAATCAATTATTCATTGCACAGGCCAGCAGTCACAGACCTCCTGCATCCCAAAGCAGTGCAGCGTCGCAAATCACAGAAGAAGCTGTTGACAAATAAACTGATTCAGATACATGACATAACATTTTACAGCCGCTCAAGCAGCTGAAGACAAGGAGCTTTTTGTCTGGAGGAAGTTTCTTAGGATTCATTTACTACATCTGACAAATTAAATGGATTCAAAGAATTATTCAGTCAGATGTTTGGTTTTATGTGATGTGGCGATTGGTTAACACACAGTAAATTTAAATTCACTGCCTGTAGACAGTTAAGATATTTTCAGACATAAACTCCTTTGAGAAAGTTGGGGCGTTTGTCGATATTTGAACTCTCTTTTTCATTTAGAGAAATTCACACTTGGTTTTTTTTCCACTTTTGCAACAGCACGCCCACTCACTCGGACCTTTTCCTGCTGTATTCTCACTGGGGCTCACTTAGACACTTCTCTGACAATTAACTAGGGCGCTGGCAGAAGAAAGTCCCGGATGATGTCCACATGTCTGACCATGACATTTGCGGTTTTCGCAGGCAACCCCTCTGGAAAGTTTCAGGAAAATATCTGGACTTCAGTGCATGTCTGAAAGTAACTGGTTAGCTTAGTATTAAGATTGAAAACCAGAGCAAACAGCTAGAATCGGCCTACAGGCGCCTCTAGAAGTCATGTTTTTGTGTGTTTATGTTGAGCTAGTGGAGACTGGCTGTAGCTTGATATTTGACAGCTGTAAGAGTGATTTCTCATGGTTACAGAGCGAATAAATCTAGAACTATTTCTTTAAGTCAGAGGAAGTGATATTGATTTATCATTCTACTGAGTTATGACGGTCCCTTAACCCTGAGCGTCACAAAATGAATCAGTATCAAGTCATAAGTGAGGGCCACACTGACATTTTCCCCCGTGCCGTCTGCAGGACATGCTACAGTGCTCCATCACAGAGTCTGTCTGCTCCTCCAACAGGTTCTATTATCGGTCTGTTTGTGCTGTGTCAAGCCTGTCACTCAGACAACAGGCCTCTGTAGGGACAGCACCGGTGACTCACTGTTGTCAAACTGTTTGGCGGAGGAGTCGACAGAAAAATGGCAACGTTGGAAAGCATTTGTGTGTGTGAGAGCGAGATGGATGGAGATGATGAGAGCGACAGCGGGCACTTGTCAGGGTTTGCTCTGCTGCATGCGTTGACTCGACATGTGCGTGTCTGCTCCAGTGTCTGTGCTGTCCACCTACCCACTGTGCGGCCACTAATGCAGCAGACCTAATTGCTTTTCCCTGGGCTGTTGCAGTGACTCACACTGTGGCACAATGTGAAGCCTCGCTGTTATTGACACCAGCCAACCCTCATTTATTTATGAGTCACTTATCTGCCAATAAACCTTTATTAACATTGAGCTACCTGCAGTAAAACTACGTCAGAACACGCAACTAAAGCCGTCATGTAACTTACTCAGACACTTTATTTATGTATAAGTACTTAACTTCTATTAAATGACGATCCATGACATTTCAGAGGGGAACACTGTACTTTCCCCCTAATGCATCGTAAAAAGTTAAACTACCTTGCATGTCAAGTAATTCCTGCTGTAAAACCAAAGTTCAGCTTGCATGTTCCATCTGTAATAATGACATCATATTAATATGCATACATTGGCCAATACAATTACAAACATGAAGATGAAAAATGTTAAAATATGGTTGAACCCCCAGTAGATACCTTCTTCAAAGTCTGGGACTTTATATTTAAAACTCATTGTTATTGTCTTTGTCAAAGGAGAATTTATGGCAGAGCTGTTGAGTGTGACACATAAGATTATGACACTGCTGGGAGCCATTTTGGTGCATAATGAGTATTTTTACCTTCTAGTGCAATGCCTGCCTGTTTTGGAATAGATTGTTTGCTCGGCCTGTTGTGATGCTGGTTGCAGCTTTCTTCCTGAAACTGTAAAAGTGACCTGCAGTAACAGATAGATAGATAATTAGATAGATAGATAGAGATATATATATATATATATAGATAGATAGATAGAGAGATAGAGAGATAGATAGATAGATGGGTAATATGATGAATGATGGATATGATGAACCCTAACCCTTCCACATACAGACAGCACAGTTCTGTGATTATTCAACAAATGAAGATGAAGAACATGATAATAAAATATCAATAATGCAGCCCAAATTAACATTACTGCAAAATACCACCTCAATAATGAACACATAGTTAAATCAATATCTCTACTCAATTTTACACTTCTTTTGGTCAAGGGAGACTTTATAGCAGAGCTGTTGCACTGGATTTAATTCCTTTTTACAGTTCTACCTCTCAAATGGTTATTCAGTGTGACATATAATATTGTGACACTGCTGGCAGCCATTTTGGTGCATAATGACAATTTTTTCAAGTCCATCAACACACAACTTACTTGTAAATTTGTGTTTTCCCCTTGTTTAACCCAGCTCATCACCTTGTTCTAGTCACACACACATGGCTCTAATAAATTTGTGCAGCACCTGGCACAGTGACAGAGCCAGTGTGAAGGAGAGAGAGCGAGGCACCGTGCTGGCTGGATCACTGCCGTCACCTGCTGCGGGGTAGAGAGCCCCACTGAGAGGATAAAGATCTGCATATAGGGTTTGGTCCATCTCTAATGATCCTGCAGTGGAGAATATGAAAACACATTAGCTAAAGAGCCCGTCATGATCTCTGGGCGGTGCTGCATGGTGACTGGGCGTCTGTGCACTGCAAGCCAAAAAAAAGGAAAAGAGCATGATGTGGGAAAGAAAAACACCATTTGTCGCACTCATTAACAGGCTGCGACACAAATCAAAGTTATTATGCCTCAAAAAGTGCACGTGCCAAAGGAAGATTTTCCACATATTTAATGCAGCGTGAACTTGGCTGTTCTTTGAAAAAGAGACAAAAATAGACTTCCTCATAAAGTATTCAGTTACATTGTGGGGCTATTTATAGCCCTCCCTCGACTCCAGAATTAGGTTATTTGGAGTTAATTATATAATTACTGCTTTGATTTTGCCCCATAAAGAAGCTGTGTCTGCTAAAACCTATGAAATAACATTAGCGCAATTGAATAATTTTAGATAGAGAAATTTGTCTCATTAGTGGGTGACTATGGTGATGGGGCTGAGGTAATATCAGGCATGGACCTGCAGCAGTGGGTGTTGAAGTGGTCCTCTGCTTTGAAATCTATGTCACGAGAGTTAATACATATTTTATTACATGGACGTGCATCTCACCGACAGCTTGCATGGAATGTTTGTGGGGTTGCACCCAATGAAGAAGCTTACGACATCCCACAAGGAGTGTTGAGCACGTTGCTTATGAAAAGAAATCCCTCACAATGACTCTCAAGTCAGCAGAAACATTGTTTATCTGAGCCCAGAAGCAAAATTCAAACTGTAAATTTCCACAGAGATAAGAGAGAAAACACTTGTCTCATAAAGTACCCACAAGCAGGGAGTGTAGACAGAGAGCAAAGATAGTAGATTAACATTTCATGTCGACATAACGGAGCACAGAAGCAGATGAATGAGAATAATGATGCTGTGAACGCAGAGCGTTATGTGGCTTCTTAATGTTTTCCAAACACCAGACAAGTCGGGGATAAAAGAGGAGCTGAGGGGCTGCAGAAAAAGGCTGATGCTGTAAAAATAGGGAAAAAAAGAGGGGAAGTCAGTGTTGATTTAGTCAGTGTGAACTGTAAAAACATGCAAATTGGATGGAGAGGGAAACACAAGCTGCAGGTGAAGAGCAGAGATGTTTCTGTGTATTTCCACAGGATTAGTAGAATTCTTACATGTTTTCACGTACTAACATTATAATCACTGATAGAAAAGGAAGAGAGATACTTGTTTAGTGATTTCTTTTTTAGGATGTTTTGCTAATATGCTAGGACAGTGCCTCCCGATTTGAGAAAATCCAGGACTTCACTTTCTTTAACATTGTGAGAAACGGCGTTTTTCAACATTTTCACAATTTTCCTTGGGTCTTAATGAAAAAAGGCACATTTAAGGAAACTGATACCTGAGTGAGTGAGTGAGTGAGTGAGTATGTGAAATCTGATACAGCTTGTCTGAATTGAAGGGACTGTATGTGCTGCTGAGTGCTGGTTTTCTATTGAATTTTACTTAAGGACTCAAATAAAGCACAGGAAATCCCTTCCTTGTTTGAAATGGCCACAACCAGCAGACACTCATATTTAGTTATATTTAGTTAAATTTGACATGTATGGGGCTGAGCTTTATGGATATATCTACATTAACAGTATTGAGTCATAAAATAATCACATTCATGTTCATAACAATGCTTGTTTAGTTCACGTCTAATTACAGATTGATTTGAATGATTGATTTGAATAATTAATATAATCGTATAACACAATATGATCATATTATCATGGTAAGCTTCCATTTTCAGTTGCAATGATATCAGAATGATTGGATTTAACGTAACTCCAGCTTCTCAGCTCCACTTCCTGTTATTACAGTGTCATGACACATGATTAAATTCTCCATCTATCTTAAACGCCCCTCCCCCTCCTTCTAAACACACATTTTCTCCTCCTCTCTCCTCTCTCCCCTCTTTTATCTGGTGATAACATTGCAGGTCGATCTAGAGATATGCACGTTCCATCTATCCTCAGACGCCTCAAGTGTTACACAATCAGTGGCACATTTGCAAACACACACAAGAGACACATGCACACAGGAAAACATAAACATTGGCAGGAGGTGGGTTAACGTGCTCACTCTTGTCACGCCATCAGGACTTTCATACAGTGAAGTCAGAGCTGGCACGTTGTGTGTTTGTTGTGTTGCCATCAGCTGAGCCGACATGTAACCATGACCCTGAATTCCCCTGTTTATGACGATCTAATGGGTTAGGTGCTCGTTTCACTGTCACTGAGTCTCCATGATTTTATATTTACAATCTTTGCTTCTAAGGTTACAATCTTATATCTCAGGTTCAAATACCTGCCAGTGGACTATCATCTTTATATTTATGACTTGTTCTCTTTGCAGCATGCAATAGATGCAGTGAGTGCAGGAGTGAGTCCGATCGGAGACATATCTTATAATTCCAGTTACTGGGACATGGGCAGCGCCTTCTTCTTTGCTGGAACTGTCATCACAACCATAGGTGAGTTTAAAATACTCTAATACCAGTTCAATATGGTGATGTTCAGAGTCAGTGCAAATCACATTTGAAGAACTTCAACACACTTCAGCCACATTACTTTATGCTTCCGACTAGTTGGAGTGAATCATATTTTCAGGTATTGGAGCATTTAGGGATTTGTCCCTTCAGTTTGTTAGAGGTGTTTCTCAGTGTAAATCTCTGTTATGAAACTGTGATTGCTTCGTTCTTACCGTTGCTCTCAAGTGAGTTTAACAAATCCCCTTTCCCCACATAAGGTGATGTTTAATGACGCAAAGCAGAGACACTGGGATTTAACAACCAAATACAACACCATCAAGGGTTCTTACAAAACAGGCACCACTGACACAGAGGATACTGTTTGGATCTTGCTTTTATAAGAAAATAATGTTATTAAAAAAATATAATTGATCAAAGCTCATTTTTTGTAGATACCTGTAAGCTTTGGCCATTTACAATAAATATTCCATTCCTGAGCCATTTTGTGAACGCCAGAGCTAATGCATCAAAGTTTCTGTTCTGTCAAGTAGCTGCACAGACTGTACCTCCTCTGAAATTACCGAGAAAAACACCATGTTACAGACTTGTTACTCTGGTCTAGTGCAGAATTTCATTACCTCATGCACTGATGCGTGTTGGCTTCAGTGGATTAATTTATTTCACAGCCCAGAGAAAGAATGACAAAAACAAAGACATCCAGCATACAATTCTCAACTGAATATAAATAGAAGAGTTGTGACGTTGATGAGCTTCAGTGAAAGGAACATGAACGTAAACATGTGACAGACAGGATGTATTTTACTTTAATGGTCAGGCCACAACATGTGGAAATGGAAGGAATTGGGTAAAGAACAGTTTATGCTCTGGTCCCTGTCTCCCGGGCTCCGTCATTGTATCTCTGTCACTGCAGGGCCATAATTAATGTAATTTTCTCTAAGGGGAACCTAATTATTGTCTCTCTTGGAGGTTATTTACCTCAGACCCCTGCTTCAAGTGCTGAAAGGTATTGCATGAGCCTTTCAATTGATTTTGTTGCATAAGAAAGTCTTGATTGTCTTTTCTGCGTCTCATCTTACTATTTATACCCCTCCCCCCTGTGCCACCTCCGCACCACATCCCCTCGGACTTGTTTCCCATCCTGGTTTCACTTCCTTATAATTTCATCTTTCTTACCTTATTCCTCCTCTTTTTCCTCTTCTTTATTAATTCGACAGGTTATGGAAACATCGCTCCAAGCACGGAAGGAGGGAAAATCTTTTGCATTCTTTATGCGATATTTGGCATTCCCCTGTTTGGCTTCTTGTTGGCCGGAATTGGAGACCAGCTCGGGACCATCTTTGTGAAAAGCATCTTGAGAGTTGAGAGGATATTCAGGGTGAGTTTACAAGTATCACAGCGTATTGTATCGCAGAGTATTCGCACCCCCGCTGCTGCACAAAGAGCTGTTCACCCGTTTATTCAAAGTGCGGTGAAGCCCGACTCAGTACGCAGAACCTCGAACTGGAGAATTGGTTATCGATGTCATGAACTCGTTCAACGTTACTTATGTTGAAGTATCCAAGCCCCTCTCTGTACTGGTCACCTGTTTCTTCCAAGTCTATTAATATTGAACTTATCTCTTGTCTAAATCAAAACATTTGACACTGTACTTCCTTTGGCATTTAGCAAAACATGTACCGAGTGTGAGGCCAATAAGATGAATGGTTCCTAAGATATTCCATATGCAGACAAACTTCTGGAAATATTAGATTTAGTCCACGTTTTATTAGACCATAAAAGCTTTATTGCACCATATTATATTATATATTAGGCCATATAAGCTTTATTACACGATATAACATTAAAGATTAGGTTATATAAAGTTCATCATGCTATCACTATTTTTCATTCTAATTCTAGCTTATCCAATTTGTTTGTCTTTTCAGCAAAAACACAAACAGATCAGTCAGACCAAGATCAGAGTGACCTCCACCATCCTCTTCATCCTGGCTGGCTGCATTGTCTTCGTCACCATCCCGGCTGTCATCTTCAAACACATCGAGGGCTGGACCACGCTGGAGGCCATCTACTTTGTAGTGATCACTCTCACCACGGTGGGAATAGGAGACTATGTGGCAGGTAGAGAGATGTGGAGTAGATGGTTCACATGGTTCTTTTTTTATTAACTTTAATGACTTTCTATTGACATTATTTCCTCTTCATCTCCAGGTGGAGACCGCAGGATCGAATACAAGCAGTGGTACAAGCCGCTGGTGTGGTTCTGGATCTTGGTGGGCTTGGCGTACTTTGCAGCCGTCCTCAGCATGATTGGAGACTGGCTTCGAGTGTTGTCTAAAAAGACCAAAGAGGAGGTGGGGCTCATTCAATTACACCTCTCAGTATTACATTAGAGAGGCAGAACGTAAAAGGTCACTCAGCTGCTGCCTCACGTGCTCCTCGTGTCTGCTCTCTCATTTTGCACGTTAATTGCTGTGATTAACGAACATATATTGTTTGAGGTGTAGATGTTTCACCAAGTCCAGTCAGTGATCTACTGATCCGCTAGAGTGGAAAGTGATGTCAGTGCTAAGCCTGTAGCTCAGTGTAGGGGTTGTCACTTTAGATGTAGTCCAAAAAGTTGTATAAGAAAAGTACAAATTAAATGAAATATGAATATAAAAATGTAAAATAAAAACATAAATGCACATCTTTTCTTTTCTGTGTTGTAAAAGATTTTTATGGACAAATCCATTGTTGGTTTAGTTGTTTTCATTTGATTTGATAACAGAGGAAAAATATCACCATCCTCATCCTTGAAAACTGTTTTTGACTGTACCCAATACCCCCCCAATCCATTTGCTCTGTTTTCCTTATTGCTCTGTTGTCACAGGTTGGGGAGTTTAAAGCTCATGCGGCTGAATGGAAGGCAAATGTGCGAGCAGAGTTCCGTGAAACGCGGCGGCGCCTGAGTGTTGAGATCCATGACAAGCTCCAGCGGGCCGCCACCATCCGCAGCATGGAGCGCCGTCAGCTCGGCCTGGAGCAGCGAGCTCACTCTCTCGACATGCTGTCTCCAGAGAAGCGAGCCATGTTCGCCAGCCTGGACGCCGGCCGCTTCAAGACTTCTTCCCAAGAGAGCATCGACACCAAGCTCAACAACCTGAGACTGAAGGGGGCCTGTGAGTCGTACGACCATCAGGGGAGCGAGCAAACGCCGCAGACAGCGTCTTCCTCCGAGGAGAACCTCTTCAATCTACGCTTCGGCTCCCTCACCAAACTGGGAAGACGCAACAAGAGCCGCGAGCTTCGGGGGAACATCCCTGAAGATGTTCGCAGGGCAAGCGTAGGCATAAACACTGGCAGTGCCATGCTAGGGGAGGAGAGGACGGAGGAGGAAGAGGAGGATGACGGGGAGTCACATGAGGAAAATGGAGAGAGGAAAGAGGGAAACATCAGCTTGACAAACCTGTCGCAGTACACCATGGAGCGAGCCAAGCTGAATGGGTTCATGCCAGCACAGGCCAAAGACAGGGAGAAAGATGAGGGGGTGAATGGACAAGCACTTCAGGTGTAGAGACAGAGAGAGTGAGACAGAAACTCAGACAGACTGAGAGATGTCAAGAAATGTGCCTTTCTGTTCCCCATGCTTAGATTGGAACTGCTCCCAGGAAGATCAGTCAGCGTGCCATAGCCATGGGAAGAAAAACGTGTTGCCAAAAACAAATAAAACTGAAAAGAGGCTGTAGCTAAAATACCTCTCTGCATATTTATTGTACAACAGGCTACTTGAGACAAGCCCTCGTCTTTTCAGCCCTTCTTGGATCTTCCGAGACGTTGGGAAACGGCCATCTGTTCACGTCGAATCTTATTTTTCATTAATGTGGGCAGGACAGTTTGAGCCATGTCACCCATCTTCAGGAACATTATAGATCTCTGCTGCGTCGTATCGTACTGTGGGAGCTATTTAAAGCTCGGCAGCCTGCTACGAAAGGACTTTTAACAAATGGAGAGTGGGAGGCTGTGTTTCTGCCAGATCGATAGACAATACAAGCATTTACCGAAGGTTTAAAACAACTACACACTTAAGAGCTCACAAAGAAAATATTCATCTGGATAGTGCATGGCTCTTGAAACACAACCATAGCAGTTTGAAAGCTGTAATAAGGTTTCTTTCTTTGTGTTGTAATAAAATGACGCTGCGCTGGAATTCACCTGTTAAAGACACAGTTAATCACCTTTGGACACGAGATTGTCAGATTGTTTTTTTTATTTTGTACATGACTTTCACATGATCACAAAATGACTTGAGATCCTCCAAATGACTTTTTAAATGAGCGAATGTGACGCCGTTGATTTTCTACTCACCGCGCATGTCTGCATCTGTGTTTACTCCTTTTTATATCAGACGAGCACTTGAGTTGTATTTTCCATCATAAAATGTTTACTTTTTTGTTTTCTGAAACATGTCCTGTAATTAATAATTCACTGAAATGTTTTTGACACATGACGATGAGCTCTTTTGCATTTCTTATAAAAACAGGTACTGACACTGGAGCCTAATTTTACAGAATTATCAAATGTATCACACACGGACACACACACGGACACACACATGGACACACACATGGACACACACACTGGTTGTACGTGTAACCTGTTTAGCATTAATCTTTCCATGACCATGACCTGTGACGAGCTTAGCGACTATTTGTTGTGTACAGTTTATTTTATGAACAGATCACATTAAATGTAGTGAGTGCCTTTTTCCAGATAATAAACATGACAAATTAAATTTTAAAAAGTGGTGATTTTGACTTTTCTCTTGTTCGGTGGATATGAGGTCACAGCTGCTGCTTGGTGAAGATGTTAGAAGACATATGTGTCCTAAGCATTTTATGAGTGAGTTATTTAATGGAAAAAGCTCATAGTTATTTAATATTTAATAACAATAACATTTATTGGCAAAGACAGAGACTGTAGCCTAAACTTATTTAAACCCTTGTCATCCTCCACGAGAACATAAAGAAAGCCCTTCACAGCTGCTAGTTGCAATGCTTGTGTATCTACCCTGGGGCAGATACAGGCTGTATATGTTCCTTCAAGCATTGTCATGCAGTTCATTCATTATTGGACATAATCAAAGCATCCTGAGGTCCAGGGATTGACCCCTGTGCCAGAGGCTTACCCATACCTGGCTCTAGGCTTCGTTATTATGATAAATGCCGTACGAATTGGACATATAATTGGTCTCTCTGTGAAAATTGGCCCCTTTATTCCCCCTAATTTAGAATAATCCTACATCCTCCACTGGCCCAATGCATCTGTTTACATTTAAATAACATTTTGCTTTGTTTGGTCCGGCCTGAAGTGTAACTGAAGCAGCTACATGGAATTCATCCATTATTAATTTCATTAGCATCATGTAAAATGTTTTCTCTGATAAAGTCTCAATGTCATTATATATTTAGATCTTTTGCCAGAAGCCATTGGCTGGAAGAAGTGTTTTGTTATTGTTAATTAAAAATAGAAGATGAATGGAATGAATAGTATAATGAATGAATTAATAGAATAATGAATAGTTAGATATACTAGTGTTTATATGACCAGTTAGATATACTACTCTGTATATGACCAGTGTGAAACCTGCTTTTACAGGACACAAGGATGTTAAGGCGACTTTTACTTTTCAGGTTTTGGCCCAAACACGTTTGTTCCCTTATTAAAATGGAATGGAGATTTTCACTTCTGATAAGTGGCTGTGAAAAATGATGGTTCCCATAAAAAAGTGACGTATTGAAAACAGTTAAATTTGACCTTTAGTTTAATGTAATTTATTCCTGTTGTGTCAAAATATGTGAAAGTATTTAATGCAGTAATTGTAAATACAGTCAATGCTCATCAGTGATCTCAGGTTTTACAGCTATTTACGACATTATTCGCTCTTTTGTCCTCATAAAAAAAAACGAAGACCAAAAACAAAACAAGGTGACAAAAGGACAAACTAGAAATGATCTCAATTTACTGAATCAATTCAAACACAATATGTCACCCAGTCTTGCATTTATTTTTATCCCATTGCTTTTTTTCCCCCACTCCTCATAAAATTGTATCCCAACCCAATTTTCTAATTACATTATCACTGTGAATTTGCTTCGATGCAGCTTTTGTGGGTTATTAAATGACAAAACACACTGTTATGTAAGCAACTCATGGCGTGTTGCAGGGTGATGGAGCCCAAGGACTCCATCTGTGCATGTCTCGCTCAGAGCCACGGTCAGGTGCTCAGAGTGTGTTGCACTGAGGAGAGCGACCCAGCTGAAAGCACCACAGAAGGAATTAATCAGGGAGGCAGGCCAGTGTATGGGAGGGCCATAAATCGCATGTCATGGAAAGGGTGTGTGTGTGTGTTTCCTTCAAGGTGGAAGTGACCTCAACCTGCCTCCGCCCTTCTCCTCTTCTCTTTCTCTGTCGTCTGTCGATCACTATCTTTCTATCTCTTTACCCTCAGCTCCATGTCTCCCCCCACACATGATGAAACACCAAATGGGGTTTTATTCTCTCAGGTTGTTTTTAATTAGTTTTTGTCTCTATTTCTGTGATCGTCACTGTAGTCATGTCAATCTGATTCATTTATACTGAAGTGGAAGTGGTGAGAGAAGGTGATCCTGCATGTCCAAACACCAGTCGTGTATGAAAATGCTCTAAAAGTAACAAAATGACAGCATCAATTACATTAATAATCACATATACAAAAGAAAAGATTACTTTCATGTGCTGTGTTTAAAATGGGGTTGCACACCATAACATATTTAAGTAATCTAGTATAACACGGCAAACACGTTTGTAAAAAATCCTGAAACTCACAGTCTCTCTGCAATATCTGGTGCAGTGCTGGGAATTACAACAATACCACAATTACTTGTAAAATGATTCCCTAAGGCTCAGCACGTAGAGCGGGTCGTCCACTAACCAGAAGGTCTTTACCTGATCCTTGGCTCCTACAGTCTGTGTGCATCCTTGGGCAAGACACTGAACCCTAAATTGCCCCTGACGGCTGCTCCACCAGAATGTAAATGACGTGTGGCAGAAAAAGTGCTGCATGTGTGTGAATTGGTAAATGTGACTTGTAGTAAACAGGATGCAACAAGATAATTGATCTAAAAGAAAGATGTTTTCCAACAGAACCATGCACAAATGACAGAACAGAATAGCGGTGACGACTGCACTTACATATATATGGAAGAGGAAGTTCTTTTTGTCAGCCAACAAAATGTTTTGATAGGCAAATTGGAAAAAAGGCAGCTGCTGCAAGCCTGGCTTGTTTTGAATTTCTCCACAAGTATATTTTTATAACATAACATTATACAAATGTACTGATAGACATGTTAACAGATTTTAACTGTCATACTGTTACGTCACCTCGAGCTGTCCTTGCCTAATTATCGCTTGCTTGAAATCTGCACCATGGACTAGGATCTGCACAAGTTGTTCCTCTTCCTGCTTCCTCCCTTTTGCTTTTTATAGTTTCATGTGGAACCATGTGTCCCCTGTGTTCCTCTGCAGCCAGTGGGGGGAGAGGGGCTTCGTCTTCATCTGCAGATTTAATGTTATTAAGCAGGAGAATTTTAAATTTCTTTTTTTAGCCATCTGGACTTCATCTGAAACATGAAGCTCTGCCAAGAGATGATGAGTAAAACACTAAACTGAGCGTTCCTGGTGCAGAGCAACATTTCTTCAGGCGTCAGTGAGAACCTTTCCACCATTAGAGAGCTGTGCAATTTATCCTGAAGGGCACTGCAGAAACACAAATTCATCCATCAAGTGGGGAGGGCGCAGAAAAATTCACCCCCTGTTCCGGATAGATCGAATCGAAGGGTTGTAAGAGTTGCTCATGTTCAGTTCTCTTTAATGTGTTTGAAAATGCTCATGAATCACCTGTGAGGAGAGAGCACTGTGAGGGGTTACCTCATTCTCTATTTCTAGTGTTTTTGTTAGTCATAAAACTTACATATCTCAGCTTTGTGGTACAACTCATACAGAGATTGAACTTGTCTTCTTCTTTTTATTTTAAGATCTCAAGTGATTCCTCCTGAGGAGTTCCACTTTAATGATCTTTGACTTGCAAAATAGTGTGACTCACCGAGGGTGTGGGCGAGACTTTTCCTCAAAATTCAAAGCTGAGGAAGTGCATCTGAAGGCTGAAAGGATGCAAGAAGTATATGGGAAAAAATGATATGATATGAGGGTGAACATATAAAGTAAATACTCTATAGGCCAATTACAGTAATAGTCAAAGTTTTCAGTCACATCTTTATTTTACTACTTTGGTCTGACTAAGATGAAAAAGATCAAATCCCTTATCATAAATTTGCCCTTTCAGATCAGACTAAAAAAAGTATTTAATTAAGATTTCTATTCATATATATATTCAAACTCTAAAACTTTCACTTCAGATATGAATGTATCGTTCAGTGTTTTTATTTACCTCATTAAGGATACGAGCTAGAGGCATTTCTAAAGAAAGAGAAAAAGCACAGAAATAGTGACAGAATGCCATGAAATACAATAAACCTCGAAACAAACATGACCTAATCATAACGCCAGGACTCATTTCCCTCACTTTCAGTCAGATGATGAGGTTGTTTCCAGAATAAGTAGCTGATGAGGAGAAAGTGTGAAAGTGCTGAGAGCAACAGGAAGGATGGTGAAGAAGAGGAAAACACTTTGGAGGGAGTGTCAGACGCTCGCCCGGAGGAGCCCGGCGTGTTTGACATCCAACGCAACAGGAGGGATATGTGAAGTTCTCCTGACAATGTGTCTGGCAGTGAAGATACTGGAGTGAAGAGATATGATAATATGATGTGATGTGAAGAAGAGGAACTGGCATGTCAGTCATCTGATGCTGAAACAACACAGAAGGTTTTAAACCTCGATCAGAGGTTTATGTCTGAGTGTGGGTGACAACAATGACAGTTGACAGTTGCTGGTAAATGATAATATCAATAATAATAATATATTTATAACAAATTCTTCTAAACCAAGAGACAAAATGCTTCTCAAATCAAAACACACGATTAAAATACATAAAAATAACAAACAGTCATAAAATAATTCATTTAAAGAATGTATTATTAAGTATGGTTGAGCTTCAGTGTTCTCGCCATCATTTGTCACATTTGTAAAAAA